AACTATCTGTGCTGCACAGTATTTTAAAAAAAGAACTTCCCTGATCAAACTTAGCCACAAGCGTTGAGCTCTGCAAAACCTGGAAGTGTTTTGATCAAAAATCTGTTTGTGTTAGTCCCTTTTGGGTTCCCTGCCACAGTGATTGGGATCCTGCCAGGCATATTTTGCCCTCAGGATCTGTGATGCAGAACAGGAGAGTACATTGGTGTATGTCTTGAAGACACAATTGCTCCAAGAATGTTCCTCTTTTTTTCTTTAGAGTGGGAAAAGGAATGAAGCTATGAGGAGTGAAACATAAATATTCTGACTTGTTTCTGTAGTATGGTGCATGACTGCAGTACATGTTCGTGGCTGTAGGTACTTCAGAAATAAGGACAGATAAACCTAATTTCTGAAAAATGTATTTATAGTCTGTGTGACCATCAAATTTAAAAGTACAAATCTTACTTTAAATTTAGGATGTGGCTTTTTGAGTGATAAATCATTGAGGTCTGAGTACATACATGAGTTGAAAAGCTTGAGAAATAGAGACATTTTTTATTCCCTTATCTCCCTTCCAAAGTTTAAGTAAGCACAGTTACGAGTTGTGCTTCTCTTTTTACATCAGGAGGAGCTGATAAAGAAAGCAGGTGACATTTGAGGGTTCACAGTAAGCTCATCAAGATAGAAACTGGGAAGGTGCCTGGTTGGAACAGCACCTGTGCTTCTGTCCTCTCTTGAGGATCTTTAAATCCAACCCCTCAGTAGCATCCCAGTAGACTTTTTGAGGCTTGGGAAGCCACTGCTCCTCTGATTAAAGTTTTGTTGGCAGTGTCTGTTTTAAAAAGTCTTTTTTATGCATGAGATATTTTTGAGTTTTCTAGTTTTGGTCAGAAAAAAAAAGAACAATTAGCCCACAACAGAAAAATAATTTTCTTATTTAAACACAAGCTATTTTCAGTGGCTGCTATTGTGGCCTCATTTAGCAGCTTTGAGGTGAAATTCTGCTCTTTGCATGTTCAGATACTTCAGATTTTGAAGTTGTTTCTCTTGTAGTCTAAAGTTGCCTCTAAGATGATGAAATTATCTGAAATATCAAAGTGCAAAAGTGATTTATGAAATAAAATTTACATTCTAGGTGGAAAATGAAGAGTTGAGACATCTTATGTGGTCTTCAGTTCTGTTTTACAAGACTCCCAATGTGGAAGTGATGGCTTGTGTTCTTCTCTCAACAAAAGCTATTTACTTTCTGTTGGATGATTCTTTTGTTCATGCTGATGAGCACCAGTCAGGTAAAAGAGTTATTTTTAATAAGGTTACAAATTTAATCCCTGTCTATGTGTTAGTCTTCAACTGAAGTACCAGTTTTGGTCAGTAATCTTACTTGGGACCTCCTAGTTGAGGGGTACAGTGGCAAAATTTACTGTATGCAAAGTATTTGCGTAAGACTTATGTTGAAAAACCAGGGCCTTGAGTCACGTCTGCTTCTCAGACAGACCTTTCCAGCTGCCACTATATCCATGTTTTGCTGTCATTTCACAGTCCCTACCATCACCTAGGCAGCTAAAGGCCCTTTAATAACCAAAATGGTAAGTGGGCAGTAGTGACCTTCAGGGTGTGCATTCAGTTCAAGTGGATTGTTAATGCATCTGCTGATTTAACTCTGGTATGTGACAGCTGCTTCAAGAAATGCTGCTAACAAGGAGATTCAGGTGTATTTATTGCTTGAGAAATGATTAGCCACTGTACCCACTTTCTTCTTAATTTCTTTCTTCAAGTGTGAGATAAGTGTAGGATTTTAATATAAAAATTAAGTTTATGGGCAGAATAATTTTTTTTTTACATTTTCATTGTATGTATACTTTCAAAACAGATTTTTGGAACAAGGAGAACTCAGATTGCGAAAACAGTTCTTTCCACCTCTCTTGCTGCTTTGTGCTAAAACTTAATGACCTGCAGTCAGTAAATGTTGGCCTATTTGACCAATACTTCCGCATTACTGGTGAGTAAATCTTGTGCTTTGAAGTTTTTCCAGTCCTGCTTTGGTTTAGTCTTCTGTTAGATGGATTCCTGTCTTTATTAGTGAGATGGAAGAGTGTATGATTTTGTTGCTTCTTTTTCTTGAATTCCCTAGAGCTGTAGTTGAACCATAAGTGTACCTCATATTTTAAATGAAGAGTAATTATATTATGTATTTTTAAGGGCTTTGTAAGGATTCTATTGTTGTTTTCAAGGATTTCAAAGATTTCTGAATACTGAAGCATGTTTTCAGGAGAAATAATCCTTGCAAGAAGTCATTTCTGATGACAGCTGCATGTTGATTCAAGAAATGATAATGCCACGTATGGATTTGTGAGTGGATTGTATTCTGTGTTCTCCTCAGGCCATTCTGCAGATCACATTGTCACCTGCCTGACAAGGGACAGCTACAACACTCACACCTTCATCCAGCAGCTTATGGCAGTTCTGTCTTTGCTTGCACGCACACCTTCACCTGAGCCAGTAGACAAAGACTTCTACTCTGAATTTGGGAGTAAAAACACAGGTGAGTGATCCTTCCTACATGTCAGGAGTTATTTGGGCATCAGACTTAAGGCTTCATCTAAACTCTAGTGATTAAAAGTGGAAAAACTTGAAAGCAGGGGCTCTGTATTCAATGATCTGATAATGCTTTCAGTGAGTTCAGAACCGGGGAGTGGGAAGGAGGCAGAGGAGGTCACTTGGTATGGAGGTGGATAATCTTTGATTTGAGAATCCAGCTGTGTTTCCTCTAACTTCTGCCATCACCTGAACTAATTGTATGAAAAGTATGTTGATAATGCAAGAAAAGACTCCAGTACAGATTTGCAATCCAAATATAATTATTCAAATATTGTATATGAGCAAAAGCACATGTGAATAGATACAAAACTTGAATTCTTCTGTCTGTCAAAGGTTATTGCTTATCCTGATACATTAAGGAAGTATTATATAATACTAAAATATAATAATGTATGTTTCTTGCAGGAAAAATGGAGAATTATGAATTGATTCACTCTAGCAGAGTAAAATTTATTTATCCAAATGAAGAGGAAATTGGGGACCTTGCTTTTCTAGTGGCAGAGAAGATGGATGGTTTGACTAATCTTCCATCCCTCAACATCCTTCTGTATGTGTTGGCATTCCAAGTAAATCACGGTGAAGGATCTGCTCAAAACACTAGTTCACTTCAACCTAAAACACTTATACTGACCAGCTCTGATTTGTTCCTCTTTGATGAAGATTATATCAGTTACCCACTACCTGACTTTGCTAAGGAACCACCAAAGAGAGATAAGTATCAGCTTGCAGATGGACGGCGAATCCGGGATTTAGACAGAGTACTTATGGGTTATCAGACATATCCACAGGCCCTTACATTTGTGTTTGATGATGTTCAGGATCAGGATCTGATGCAGAATTTAACACTGGATCACTTTGGAGAAGCTGCTAGTGTCCCAAGTGGAAATACTAAACAAGAAGGCAGCAAGAACAGAGAGATCCAGTGGTATATTTTTATCCCAAGTGCAGAAAGCAGGGAGAAATTAATTTCCTTGCTTGCAAGGCAGTGGGAGATCCTGTGTGGTAGGGAACTGCCTTTGGAACTCACAGGGTAGTTATTGCACAGCCAGGTGATTTCAGTGTGTATTATAAGGTAAAGCACAGTGTTTAGGTAAACAGCACCTTTCAAGTTCTTTGTTTCCATGAGGAGCTGACCTGGACTCCCCTGCTCCCTAGTGCAGTGAACATACATAGTGCAGTACACAGAAATATTCTGAAGTGTTAACTGGGGACTGAACTTCTTGTACAGTCTACTTTTTATGCAATAGTATATAGTGAAAAAAAAAAATCATGAGACATCCTGGGAAACTGTATGGAAAAATTAAGGAGTCAACACTAGATAATACTGTCGTCTGGGGCTGTTAAGGTTTCCACTGTTCTTCTGTATATATCAGTCTTGCTGTTCTATACAAATTCTAATGTGTAAATAAGGGTAAATGCTTGTGTACGTTCAAGTGCAATGTTCTTTGTACAAGAAGTATTTTGGGTATGCTGCTAATGCTTATTATTTAATGATCTTACAGTTTTACATATGTTTTTCTTTGAGGCCATATGTAATTATTTGCTGCCAATCTTCAACATAGCAGTGAAATTTGAGCCACAAACAGGTAAAAAATTTTCTTATTAAATTATTTTCATAGGCATTCTTTTTCCTTACCCTAGGATAAAAGAATTCCCTGGTAAAGATCCCCTCAGTATCATCTGCAAATTGGAAATACCCAACATAGGTATATGAGCATTTTGTCAGCAAATAATGAATTTGTATCTCTGAACACAAAGTCTTTCTTTTTGCCTATCTTGTCAATACAAATAAAGTGTAATTTGACAGTTTTCTCTTGACCTTGTTTTTATTCAAGTTTATATCTTGTGTTTGCAGGATACCATATGGCAGTTCAGCAGCACATATTATGTTCCTAGAGTGCATTATAAAGTATGGAATATGCAGCAAGATGAAAGAAGAAAATAGTTTTTTCTACTATAGCAAGATTATGTTAGTCCAGAAATACATCTGAGTCCTGGAAACTGAGGATCTGCAGCTTCTAAACACAATTTAAGGAGGATTTATTTCAAGTATTTTTGCTTCTCCACTAGGTACCAGGGATTTGCCTTCCAAGCTGTCATCTTTTATTTGAGTGTTACTGTGCCCAACAAAGTTTAGCCTCCCCCACGACACTAAAATCCATACTCACTATTTTGAAGACAAATATCGAGACTTTGAAAAAGAATGTTCTGTATCCAGTGATATTAAGAAGGGAGGAACAGTTTGGATACTTTTGTGCCAGCTGATGCTGCTTAAAACTGATGCCCCTTAAAAACCACAGAGAGAAATTTGGATTGGAAGAGACCTGGAGGTCCAACAGTCAACCTTAAAACAGGGCAAACTTCTAACGGATTGCTCAGGGCCTGGTCCAAACAAGTTAGGAGCTTTCTCCAAGAAAGGCAAGTCCACAGTGGTTAGTTGGGAATTTGGTGGTTTCACGGAGTATTTTTCTGTGCTGCTGCATAGAAAGCGGAGCTTGGCTGTGCTTTTTGGACTCCAGAAGCCAGGAATGTTGCAGTCAGTGCAAGGATGACAAAGACAGAGGCAGCCAAAGTCAGATTGTATTGCAGGATTCTGTGGAGTTCCCTAAGCAAGAAAAAAGGTGAGGAGCATTACTTGAGTGCAGCTCTGCTCAGTTTAGCAGAGGAAACCTAACCCCTTAAGCTCAGACTGATTGGACAGTTAAAGTAGGTACTGCTTGGGGAAAACTGAATTTTCCTGTACTTCAGAGCTTTTCTATTCCCTGAAATCTCAGAGTTACTTATGTTCATTTAAGCTTAATTCCTAAATTAAAAATCCTAGGGATAATATAATTAAAAGAAAGCTTAGATCTTCACTAGTTTTTTTGAAGTAATTCTGTTAATCACTTAGATATAATTCTCCATAGTAACACTTAAGGAGGGGCCTGTGGCAGCTTGAATAGTCTGATTTGCAAAAGCAATTGAGAACTTCCCAGATGAACAGGTCATTTACTGTGAGGCTTATGGTTTTAAGTGAATGCAAAGGGAATCTGTAATGAGTCCTTAGAAACTGCCTGGGATTTGAGCCAACATGAGTAGACATCTCTGCCTCTCCTGTAGGGGTTATTCTTGTCATTGCTTCTGGGTAAGTCAGCCTTGCTTCTATCTCATAAGTAAGGCCTGTCCTGGGGGATGCCTTGTGCCTGAGACAGAAATGAGTTCTGTCTTTGTAAAAACCAACTGTTTAAATGTATTTTAATACACTAGTGGATATCAGAGAATCTTGTATGAGAGTAAGCAATGATAATCCCCTGCTTATCACATAGTTTGAGCAGGCAAGGGCTCTTTTTCATATTTTATTGCAGAAAAAAACCACAACTGTGATTAAACTTGAAATTCTTTTAAGTCCACAGCTGTTTAAAGCATTGAATCTGTCCCTTTGGATCAGATTATTAATCCAGGAAACACAAGCAATTCCCCTTTGAGATCTTGCTAAGCACCAATCACATTTTAAGATCAATGAAATGCTCAGTATGTCCTGCAGTGTGTCTGGATTCTTCCAGTAAGTATCTTACCCTTGGTGCTCTCAGAGCTACAGAATCACAGAATATGCCAAGTTGGAAGGGACCCACAAGGATCACAGAGTCCAACTTCTAACCTAAATCTCTTCTTTTTTTAGTTTAAGTGCATTCCCCTTTGTCATATCCCTACCTACCCACATAAAAAGTCCCTCTTTAAAAAGCCTCCTTTAAACACTGAAAGGCTGCAATGAGGTCTTCCTGGAGCTGCCTTTTCTCTGGGCTGAACAACCCAAACCCTCTCAGCCTGTCCCCACAGGAGGGGTGCTCTGTGTTAGAACCTGCTGGAGTTAGAGCTTTGTGGGTGTACATTTCTGTTCATTTAAGTGCAATGTTAAACTGAAAAATTTGATGCACTGTCACTCCTCAGCACCAACCTGTTGTCTCTATTGTCTAATTTTAGTGTAATCTTTTGATCTAAATATAGGGATTTGAGTGAGATGTTCTTGAAAATGCACAATCATTCATCTTGAACTTTATAAAATGGCTGATAGTTTCATTTCATAAAGATTTCTCAGAACTTGCCACAGTTTTTACAGAAAATCACCAGAATGAAGTCGCTTTGTAAGCAGCTGAGGTTACACAGAACAGCCCTGGTTTCTTCCTCTCCTTTTGCAAGAGCACTACAAAGCCCTCCTTGCATTTTTCTCTTTAGTAATCCCTTTTTACTCCAATCCAGCTTTCAACCCCTGTTCAACATTAAGGCAATATCTGAGTAGGTGAAGTTACAATCAGATACATGCACAGGCAGGTGGGCAGATCTTAGTCAGGAAAGTATCTCCTGAACTATCCCAGACTTCCATAGCCTGACTTTGCAGCTGATGTAGATATTTGCCACTCTTAGAAGTCCCAGGCAATGATTTATGTTCAGTGTCATCTGCCAAGGATCTGGCCAAAGGTTTTAAAACTTCCCTTGTATTACAATTGAAAAACTCACACATGAACCTCATTAGGAAGGAAAGTAAATGAGGTGCTGACCTGAGCTAAACTGTTTTTCTTTGCAAGAAGAAATGACAGTGACCTGCATCCTGTCTGTCCTGTGTCCATTCCCATGCTGCTTTTACAGCACTCTCTGGTAAGCCTGGCTGCAGATGTACTGCACAGTGATGTATTTCCATCAACCCCTCTGGCTTGACTTCCTGTTCTTGTCAGCTTGGATAAGGAGGGGTTTTTTAACTGAAGTAGCACAAAAAGCTGCTGCTTCTTACTTGGATGTCTCTGATCAAAAAGCTTACTTCTGTGGTGCTTATCTTCAAACATACCAAACCTTAAGCAGAGAAGCAGCAACACAAGGAAAAGCATGAAGCTGTGGCTCAGAGAAGACTACAGGCTTCTGTTTCTTGCTGTCTACTTGATAATTAAGGGCATTTAGTAACTTGGAAAGCTAAAAATTGATGTGGAAAAAGTGGAGGATATGAAATTCCTTAAACTCAGAAGAAACTAAAGAAAGACTGTGGCCAGCACTCAAAAAACCCACCTGAACAGGTGCATGAAGAGGAACAGCTGGAGTTGGTAAGCTGGGCACCAAGGCCTTGTGCTTCAGTCTTTAAGGTCTCTAAGAGGGGATGATGAGAACTCCTAGAATCTTTAAAGTCGTTGAAAATGCTGAGATAGAGGGATCCCAACTCCCACCTTTGTCCTGCTGTTCTCAGGCAGACATTTAGTGCAACCCTTGGCAATCTGTTGTCTCTAGCTTTAGTCCAGCACATTACAGGCCCTTTCTATCCCCTATAGATAACAGCGTGTGAAGGTTAAGCAGCACTTCCATGGGAAAACACTCTACTACTGTGAGAGGGGCTGTTTCAACAGCCCAGACTTCTAAGTAATAGTGAATGTCTGTGGGGAATTTAGTGTCTGACTCTCCCAGCACCGAGTGCTGCTTGATAAATGGGAGAGGTGCAAAACTAAAACCAAGAGAAGGGAATATGTAGCTGCTTTTCACTGCAGGGAACATGTAAAGGAACTGAGAGTCAAGAGAAAGAAATAGGCCACATTTACAGCATTTATGTACTGACACTGGTACTGCTGCCCTTTGAGGTTTTGGACTAACAGGATGTAAGCAGCCACAACAATTTCTTCCTGAATCACTCGACAGCACTGTGCTCAGACAGCCCTACCTGTCTGCTTGGAATGGGACCATTGCACGTGTGTGTGTGTGTGTGTGTGTGTGTGAGAGAAAGATAAACAGACTTCTACTAGCTGTGCAGTCCTTCCAGTGGTTTTGCTTTTATCAGCAAACTTTAAAATTCCTCTTCCTTCCCAACTTACCAAGAGTTAAAAAAAAAAAAAAAAAAAAAGAGTATTGTGTTCTCGTCTCTTCAGCAGGACCCTGAGGTGTATATTGGATAAGTGTGGTTCAGCTGGCCCTCTTCCTACACACAAGCACTTCTGGCTTGGCCTGTTGAATCCTTTGCTAGTACCTCTTCAGACTCACAGCCTTCTTACACACTGACAATTCAGAGCAAAGGGACTTAATGTTCTTTCCCAGAAGAGCAGAACAAGAGTCCCATTCTCTCCCTGGACATAACCAAATGGTCAGCTCCCACAGAAACTGTGTGGCAAGGTGGGCTGGGTGGTAAATCACTTGCCTTGGCTCTGTAGTTTCTGTAAAGATTGCTTAAACAAAAGATTTCAATAGCAGGAAATTGCCCAAGCTGGCCAGGGCTGCACAGACTTCACAGAACAGGGCTGGTGACCCAGCATTTTAAAATGCAGCATGTGATATAGGCAGGGAGGCTGGAAGGGTTTGTAGTTTTATCCTTTGCCTTTATCCAGGCTTTTTTGTTGTTGTTTTGTTTTGTTTTTTCTTCCCATTAAGGAGGTTGAGTAATTTTTGCCAGGAGCTTCTCAACTCTGAATATCAATTCAGAGAAAAAATGCCAGGTCTTAGGTAAGTTACTTTAGAGCCCAACCTTTCATCAATACATAAAGCAAAAAGACAGAGAGAAAAATCCTGAACCCTGCTGCTTGCCAACAGTCTGCTGGTGACTGAGGAGACTCAGCCCACAAAGTAAATGATTAATGTTTCGTTGAAGCAGTCAGTGTCAGGGCCAGAATTTAAAGATGATGTTTCTGAGACTTACACTGCTAAACCAGCCACCTTCTGCCATGTGGGCAGGAGACGCTTCACTGATAAATCAACCTCTGTGTTTTCCAAGACAAATAAAAGCCCACATGCTAAACCTCACAGATAAACACACTGGCAGACAGTTGAGAACTCCTACTGTGTGTTTTAAAATTGGATTTGCACAATCCTATTTCAATCAAACATTGACTAGGACGTGAATGAAACCCTTTTACCCTGCTTGCACAAGGCCATTTGTGGGCTCTGCCATCAGATCTTTACAAGTCTTGCCTATAAATTTTCCCTTTGATGAAGGTTTTTTTCCCCGGGTTTCCCTGTCTCACATATTCCTTTAATTGCTAGTGACATAGCACGTCCCGTGGCTTTATTTTTAATGCACTACTAGGTATTTCCTCTGTACATTTTGGATGGTTTAGAAGGAATCAGATGTTGAACTCTCTGACAGGTCTCAGGATCTTGCTTTGGGAGACTTGGGGGATTTGAAGTACTTTCTGCAGTTGCCTGTGTGTGTGAGCTGGTCTCATAAAGTAAAGAGTGAGGGAACTGAGGTTTTATTTATTGACAGTTTCGAAGGGTGTTGGACAAAACAGTGGAATACAAACAATTGATCCAATGCATTTTGCCTCTAAGGCATAAAGTTTTTATTGATGTCATCCATGAGAAAATCCATGAGAATTCCATCTGCCTAGGAGGAATCCATCTATCAGAAAAGAGTGGGAGCAGTGTAAATGGAGCAGTAATTTGTGTTTGTTTGGCTCGGTTTTGCTCCCTGTGCTATTTCTATTCTGGTGTTTCCATCTTCAGTGACACTACCAACTGAACTGCCACTGTGAGCACATTGGCATCTTTCCACTGTGCACTGAGCATTAGTAATGGCTCTTGGCCACCCATTAATTTGGAGGTGGTTGGTGCTTCACCATCTTACTGATTTCCAGAATCATGAAGATCCAAAGTTGTTGCAGATTTTGATGTTCCAGATCCAGCAGCAGTGATGAGCAAAGTTTCCATTCTCTCACAGCAGCTCATATGCAGTGGCTGAAACATGCTATTTATGCTGCTTGATCAGGAAAGCAGCTTCTGATTACAGATGACCTTTTGATTTTTCAGTTTATGCTCTGCTGCTGTACAATGGCACTACTCAGTGTTTGCATTTTTAGCCTGTGTATTGCTGTTGTATTGCTTGCCTTTAATTGAGGTCAGGTCAGATAAGGAATTTGGCTGCAAACCTTTTGATGTTGCTGTGAATCTGATTTATTTAATTCAGACAGGAATTTCACCAAGCCTTTCTCTCCCTTCCCTTCCTAGTTCCCTTGTAGTAGGTCAGATACAGTGATGATAAGCAGCAGTGAAAAGCTTTGATAATAGCGATGATAAGCAGCAGTGAAACAATCTTTGTGTGTCCTTTTTCCCCCTATACCATTTTCAGTGTTGAGCCATTTAGAAAACTGTTTGAAGATTCATTAAAGGAGCCAATGCATCTTCAAGTGCCTCAGAGTAAGCTAGTTCCACCTTAAAATCTTATCAGCTGTGTGTGGATGCTGGCAACTTAATCCCTGTGTCACACAGCCAGCTCTTGGAAAAACCATCAACAAGCATCACCATCCTTCCAGGCTGCCTGTTTTAGCTGTGGGTGCCCAGCAGGCAGCATGGAGCAGAAAAACAGCCTCATTCCTCTGTTTCCCTGGCCAGTCCGGGGCCATGATTGTAGGCAAAGAAAGCACTGCACAGCTTCCATGCTGATCATCCCCTCTACAAGAGTGTCCCCACTGTCCACTTGTGACTTTGCCATCCCACCAGAACTGGCCTGAGCTATGATGCCTGTGCCTCAGTTCAGAGATCTGCAGGTACCAGATGGTTTCCAGAGCTGTGTCACCCTCTGACCTTGGCAGTGGCATCAGCTGGGCAGCAAAAGTCCCAGGGCTGCAGTTATCCTGTAGCAGGACAAGGGGCTGAGTCGTCGTATGGAGCTGTGGGCTGGTACTTCTCACATGGGTTGCAGTGGATGGTTGTGTGCCTTATCTGCTTCCTGTTAGTGCAGGATATATAACAGGGCTGGCTCTTCATCATGCTGGCTCTCCCTGTAGGATGAAGGAAGAAGGAAAGCACAACTGACGGCACTAGTAAGTACAGCGGTTCTTACATGTCAGCATGTGTGTCTTTGTGTGCGCGTAGGGGCAAAAGAATATTAATGTTCTCATTCTTTATGTAAGCACAAGAATAACTCCCTGTCCTGATTTCATTTAGGCATCTTCATGTGCTATTAATGGCTTCAAAAGAGAAGGTCCCTCATTGCTCAGTAGGATTTGCTGCTAACAGAAGCGATCTTTAGACTGCTCAGCATAGTGGGCTCTCTTGGCAGTGTAGGGAGACAAAGGCCATGTAAAATCTGTTAAAAAGCAGTTACTGGTTCTTTGTAATGTTCAAAAGGAGAATATAAATTGCAGACTGTACCTCAGGTTAGCATGTATTTCTTTTAATCCTGTTTTGGGACTTTCCTATTCTGAGTGCTATGGAAGAGCTCCTTGGATTCATCAAGCTGTCAGCAGAGTGTTTGGGAGATGATATATTTTACCATCGCTGCCATAGCACCTGCAAAATGTGATGCTTTTCTTGCTGAGAAAGTCAGATACTTTAAATAAATATCAAAGCCTCCCCAAAGTGCTTGATTGATGGATACAATGTACTTCGTTATTGTTCTGCAGTGCAGCCCATCACTCATGTTGCTTTGCTCATGCAAACTTTGGGACAGGCAGTGGTCGGGTCTACCTTCTCTTTGAGATGTTGTGGACATGTTAACACCAGTGGTAAAAGGAAATTAACTTACCCTTCATGAATTCATGGTATTTAAGTTTGCCCATTGGATTTGCCTTCTGTTAAGCACACAGTTAACCTCTTTTCTTTCCAATTAGTTGAAAACTAAGGATTTCCTTCCTTCTGTTTTGAACTGATATGTAAGAGGAAATCCGTAGATGTTCCTGTTTTGAGTAAACCTTTTACTAAGGAGTTCTGCTTGTGCATTTAAAAAAAGAGTAGAAAGAAAGAAAAAGGTTGTGTTGACTCAGATATAACACTAGAAATAGCAGATCCATTTCTGAAGGCTTTGCAGCCAAAAAGCACAGTGCAAAAATGCTCTCTCCCTGTTTACTTTTAACCTCTGGTTTGTCTTGGATCTGATTCTTAGTAGGCGGTGTTATCTTACAGAAATTACAGCTGCTATCACCACCCCTTTTGTGTAAGGGGTCCTGCCTGTAAAAGCATGAAAATGCATCCTCCTGGATTGCTGTTTTTCTTCTTAGCAGCATGCCTCACTCCCACAGCGGACTGCCAGAGTCAGAAGGTAAGTCTGCGAGTCTTTGTTTAAATGTTCATTGAACGGTTCTTCTTCGTATTTGGATGGTTGCGTGTTGGGAAATAATCCCCCCCCCAAAACTCCTTTTTTCATTTACATTTACTTAGGTGCAGAATAACATCCATAAAAACTTTAGGGCTGTAAGGTATCTTCTTTGCTATGTGTGTAGACCAAACTGACGAACTAGAAGTAAAGCTGAAGGGAGCTGCTTGAGTTTTAGATCGGGTTAAATTTGTGTCTGCATTTGGCATTGAACTCAAAAGAAGCAATATCAAAGGAATACACTCAGCATCTTTGTCTTCCTCTAGTTCAGTACGTGGGATGAGAACTTAGTATCCATCAGGAGAGGTCCCTAAGTTTCCCAGAAGTTAATTTAAAGAAAACTTTTACAATCATCTCGGCAATTCATTGCTTTGTAACAGGGTAAATACGTTTGTTTTAAGTATATTTCCCAACAGCTCCCCAGTAAGGATTGTGGAATACTTTCCATTCTGGATGTAATTTCAGTTTTGTTGATTTTATTTCTATCCCTTCATCTCTGTTCTTGCATTTAGCAGCAGCATCCAGAGGAATGTGTGATGCCTTTGTGGGTCTGTTCTACTCCAGGGTGAGGCAGCCCAGTTCCTGGAGGCTGGAATTCACCCTAATTCACCCCATATTGTCTTCTGCCATCTCCCTTCTTGTGTCCTGCTGTTGGAGGGGTGAACTGCCCTACCAAGTCAGAAGCTGTGGGTGGCATTTGGAAATTTTATTCCCTGGAGATCCAAGCTGTGTAAGGCTTGTCTTGTCTTGAATGACAAAACGGGGCCTTGTGGGGAGTGGACAGACCTGTGAGTCTTAAAGACTTAATTTAGAGAAAGCCAGAGCACTGGAAAGATGCTTCAGTGTCAGAACTTGGGTTGGAAACTTTTGTATAGAACCCTTCATAAAAGGGTGACTACTGGGAAGGCTTGTAGGATCATTAAGGTGACTTGAGCACGAACATGAAGTGTCTCTGCTGGTGGATGTTGTTTGCCTGGAGGTCTGGGTTCCAGTACAGTTGTGTTCAGAGCCACGAGCTCACATCTTCAGCTGGTCTAAGTGGAAATTTAGGTCTCTCTACTTTGAGACACTGTGTTGATTTCTGTAATCACTGAGGTGTCTGGCTTGGCATGAAACAGTTACATTATCAGGCAGTGAGTACCCACTTACAGAGAAGTGAAATGTTTTGAGTCACCTCTGGAGCATTTTATTTATTCTGTGAAAAAGAACTCCCTTTTAGATTTTTTTCTCCAAAAGGTTCCCTATTTTTGGTGAAAGAGAAGAAACATTTGAAAGGCTAAAATGGAAGATAAGGAAGAGTAAGAGTCTAATGGAGCCTTCTCTGATAGTTTAGGATAGCAACAGAAATGCTGTGATTTCACAAGAGGCCTCCACGGGCCTGCAGGGCCATCGAGAGAGAAAAGAGGGATTTTGTGCTACCTGTTTTTCAGTGATGTTACCTCAGGGCTCTGATTTGATGGTTCAAACATGACAGTGAACCTGTAACCTAATTTGGATTTTTATACCTCTTGCTATGGGCTGGGGGAGATGCAGCAGACGTGAGAACCATGAAAGTTTGTGTGCTGGGAGGAGGCCCATCCCAGGCCATGCTGGAGGAGGAGTGGAGGCAGGTGGGAGATGAGGGAAGTGGCCTCAGCATCCCTGAGCTTCCAGTACTCTGCAGTGAGAAACACCCAGGGCAACAGTAGAACTTGTGTTATGTGATCTCTGTACTTGATTGTTCATCCTCGTGCTGTAAAGTGTCTTCCTTGAACAAATGTGAAGAGTTTGTGTGTCCAGGAGCTGCTGGTCTGGTCAGCTAAAATGTTATTGAGAACTTCTTGGGGAGGTACACGACTATAATGACTCAAGCATGTGTCTGCAGCTCTGTTTTGTAAAGGACAAGTGCACTGGAAACTTGGTGATTCATTAGATAATGACTATTTCCAGAACTGGCTCCCAGGATTGTTGGAGCTGAACACTGACGTCCAAATCTGTTTTTCTTTCTTCCTTGAGGTTTTTGCCGTGCAGAAGGATTTGTGTTATGGCTTGGGAGGAAAAGACAAAGGATGAAAAAGAGGGGAATTACAAAGTACTTCCCAGCTTATTCGCTTGAGGTGGAATAAGAGAAACGAGCACTTGAGCAGTAAGGGACATCTGTTCAGAGAGGAGGGAAGGAAACACTGCAGCATCCAGAGGCTCCCATGTGTCTCATCTGAGCATGGAGGGCAGTGGCTGCTCTTGCACAAACAAGTGAGTGCAGGGAGAGAGCACAGCCCAGCCTGGAAGACAGAGCTCAGTGTGGACAGAGGCACCACCCTGATTCTTAACTTCTTTCAGCTGCAGTTGGATGTCTTCTGGTTTAAAAGCCTTCTTTAATTTTGGAAATGTTTGAGAGCATCAATCTTCCTTTTCTGTTCCTTTGTGCCCAAAGTGTGATACAGCCCAGGCTCATCACCTGATCAGAACAGTGGCTGTCACCAGGCAGCCCTGCTGCATCACAGGGGCAGACATTCCCTCTTGCTGCTTCCTTCCCAGCCTCTTCACACTTGGAAACAGCTGTCACAGATGAGCCCAAGGGAGAAGTGCATCACTGTTTTCCATGAGGCTGTGCCCCAGGAGCCACCTCTGACTCAAACTTCTGCCTATCTTTCATCCTCTCCAAAATTTGAGTATCCAGACTGTTGCATTGATTCCCTCTTCTGCTTTCCTAAGCAGCAAAACTCTCCAGAAAATGACTGCTTCATCAGTTCTGTCACTCAAATAAGAAGGGAAATATTTTTTTTTAATTCTTTTCCACTCAGCTGTTCTCTTCCTCTTTCCTCCTGCATGTTGCTGCTGACACAAGCATATTTCCTTATAAAAAGGGGAAGGTCTTACTGGAAAGCTGCCTAAAACTTATGAAGTGTCCCAGTAGGGTAGGGGGGATTCCACAATAACTGTCTTGTCTTAGAGGCCTGCAAATAATTAAACATGCCAACAGAGGAGTGGCAGCCACTCACCTCTCCCACTGTCCTTCTTCATTTAGAAGTGGAGCCACACTGATGGAGGAAAGAGAAAGAAAATGGAATAACGTGTGAATAATGGTGTCTTTCTCCACCACAATGGAGAACCACCATCCCAGAGAACACAGGCCCAAACGTGTCTGATGCCTGAAAGTACAGATGAGATAGAAGGTTGGAGAATTTTAACTCAGTGCTTTGTGCTCCACTGTTTATGTGGTCTTTTTTTGTGCAGGTAGAGGGGCTCAGACCCCAGGGGAAGGTTTGTGGGGTAATTCTAACTCACAGGAAGGCATCCACAGCTGTGCTTCTTCCTAGGGCATCTTCCCATCCCTCTTTCCAAGGCATTGTCTCAGGGAAGGTTAAAGCTGGTGCTTGATGAGACTAGAAACATGGAGATGTACTGTTCTGTGGGATCGGTGGGCCTGGCTTCAACCTGCTCCTTTCAAAGCCCAGCTTTAATCTGGAGTCCTAATTTATCCTTCAATCAGCTGATTGCATGGACTTGTTCCCTACCCCATCAATGGCACAGCTGATCCTTAGAGACGGAGTACTCCAGAGGTGGCACCTCATTTATTCATCCATATCGTTTGTCTTCTCTGTGTTGCTCCATGAAAAATGGGAAGTTTCCTCTAACTGGTCTTTGTGCCAGTGGGATGGAAACGTAAGGAACAGCAAAGATGTTTTCTGCTGGATAACATTAGTAAAGCTGGTACTCACAAGACAAGGGTGGGTCTGGTGGATCTCAGATTCATTTTGAGCTGTTTGTAATGCAGGGGAGTCCTTGACGTAACAGGTTCCTTGGGGATTCTGCTTCCAGGGGGAAGTTCAGGCTACCGTATGGTAGGAAAGCCCCAGAAACACAACTAGAAGTTAATATCCATTGGGAAGGGCCACCACAGACACAGAAATAATTTTCTTCATTGTGCAGCATTCTTGCATGGATGGCTGCAGAAGGTGGATCCATAAACATGGGAAAAAGCTCAGCAACTCCAGTCAGAGGGAACATGGATATGAGTCATGAGACATTCAAGGGAAATGTCCCTGTGGACTTGGGACTTGAGGGTTATCTCTCAGGAGGTTTTCCTGACAGGGTCTGCTGGCTATCATCTGAAAGGGCCTTCCTGAGCTGTTGATAACTGATGGGAAGCCCTGAGCTTCCTCCCTTGCCTTGAGGCAAATGTATGCATTTGGGCTTAAGTTCAGAGGAAGCAAAGCTGAGATTGCTGATGGGAATCCAAAACAAGGAGTTCTGGGCACAGTTCTGCTGCATTAACAGCATTGTTCAGGATTGGCTTAAAAAAATCCCACATCAAGGCCTCCTCCCAAAATTTGATCTAATGTTTTTATTTTTAAAAAATACAGTGCCTGTGGAGGCAGAGCTGAGGTGAGTTGTGTGGGCTTTGTCCAGCCAATGACCTTTGGGGGCATACACAGCTCATGCCTCCCAGCTTTTCTCTGTCATCATTGGTGGCAAATATTGTCTTTTTTAAAAATTAGCAATAAGGTTTCCATGCAGTTGCTTGATTCCATGCAGGAGTTTAGAAATTCAAGGGAATGCTTTTAGAGTAAAATCACGAGTTTTAGTGACAGGTTGGCATATGATGATGATCATTCACTGTACTTTTGTCATCTGCTCTGGTTGTGTTTCATTTGGAGAAGCAAGGTTGAACAGGGGTACAGAAAAGCCCTGTGAGGAAACCAGAACCCCTAAAGTTATTCTGCTTGGGTGGAAGGGCTTGTACTGATAAATCACCTGCCATGTGATTTATCCAAGTCTCCTACCTGATATTCCTGCCAATGTTTATGGAGTCCTTCTGGCCCAGGGTCAAAGCACCAAGGTGTTCAGAGAGGTGCAGAGCACCTTTCCTTATCATCCACAGCCCTGCACCTTCTTGAAGACAATTGCCAAGAGAAATATTTATGTGAGCAGCTCCTGGCTCTGGGAAATAGACTGAACCAACTCTTTCTGTTCTTCAGACCTGTGGAACAGCAATGAAACCACCAGTGAACTGGATCAAATCAATAGCATGGAAAAGAGAAATGCTGCATTGTCTTTTAATTCAGTGGCTTCTGGCAAGGGTTATTAATTCAGGGCTTGTCCTCACATACCACTGCCATGTGTTTGTAAAAGATGGGCTGGAATTAGCAGTGCAGAGTTATGATTCTTTTAGAAATGGTTAGAATTTTTGCTGTGGGGCGTAGGGAGAAGATAAGATAGCTGGGATGTGCCCTGCTGCCTTCTAGCTGAGATCCAAGCGGATCCAAGCACGCAGCAGTGTGATGGTTTAGCCCCTGGGACTGTGTGGTACCTCCCAGTAGCTGCACTGGCCACTGCCCTCCCCAGTGGTATCTCAAGAATTGTGTGAATTGATAAAGATATTACAAGTTGGCAAGGTAAGTGGCTGGGATAACAGTTTCGTTTGGGGCTTGTTTCCAGCCTGGTTTCTCTTTTTCAGTTAAAATCCATGCGATGCAATGTCAAGACGATGTTTACCTTGAACACAGCGTGTACTGCTTGTGCTGCAGCACCTAAAATGTTGTGTCCAAGAGGCTGGTTAAAGACCACCCAAGGATTAGGGGTGAGAGACTGCAGGTAAGGCTTATTTCCTCACTTATTTCCTCACTGTGTCAAGCTTTTGGTGCAGCTCTGCTATGCAAGGAGTAGTGTGTGCCTTCAGGAGAACACACACATGGTTTTGAGCTGTAAAGGTCCAAGAAGTTTTGTTTTCAGATGCAGGAAAATGAGTTTATGGCCCCTATTATTGTTGCTTTTGTCTCCTTGCTTTTTGCTGAGCATAATGTTCTATATACACAGAACAAATTGCCTCTAACTTGCCCTAAAAAACCTGAGCTTGCTAATCCTGCTGTGGCAACTTAACAGAGGTCTGTCTACTGCAGAAGCCTATTTCAGACCCAGAATTCCTTGGTGGCTTATTAGGAAAATAATATAATGATAGTTCCCCTTGTATATCCTCCCAGCTTCCAGCAATAATCCTCTGAACTTTTTACCTTCCTAGTTCACTTTATGACAATTGCTTGTTCATGTGTTCCTTGCTCTTATTCTGTTGAACTTGGCTGCAATAGGAAAAGGATGAAAGAAAACTGAATTTACTAGGAAGCTTTTGAAAAATGAAACTCTATAGATTATTGTTTGTGTATTTATTCAGTAGTCAATGTTAACTGTTAATATATAGTTCCATTGTCTTCTCTTTCTGTGATTCTCTATTCTGTCAAAATACTTTAAAAATAGTGGTGGCAGTTTTGCAGCTTGTAGCAGTTTTTGCACACACACAGGAGTCAGACTGAAGCCAAAGCAGCAATGCTATTGAGACAATTTCCAAGTTCCTTTTGGGAAGGATGTTGTGCCAAAAATAAAATGGAGTGTAAGAATAATGTGAGTGTATGCAGCTTTTCTGAGTGTTATCTGCTCTTGTGGTGGTTGTTGGACAGACCCAAGAATAGTTCTGTGCTGTGTACGTGCAGAACAAGAGGCACTGCCACCAAGGACTCACCCTGTGTGGAGAGGGGAGGGATGAAGGGTTGAAAAGAAGATGCTTCTTTGAGGGATTTAAGGGATTTGTCCAACATTGAATAGTGAATCTGTGAATAATACAGCTATTAAATCCAAATTTATGGCATCTCAATCTGGAATTTTTAGTAAAAAGCAGAAAGAGACAAGTCCCGCGAGAAGATTTTGTTCTTCCAAGGTTATTTTAGATGTGAAGTTGAATGTTGAGACACTCTGGAGTGTCTCATGTCAGCTTTACATGTCTAACCCCTCAGCATCCAAGGTTTCCATCCTGATGCAAGGTCCTGTCTCATGCCCAGTCCCTGACAGATTTCTTGTAACCAATCTTTGAGGCTCAGATCAATGGGCATCCCTAGAGAAGAGACAACCAGAGTGCAACCTCTTGTGTTCCTGCGTGGCAGAGGGGATGAGGGCCCTTCCTTCCCTTCAGAGCTCAGGGCACCGCAGTGGGACTGCTTAGAAACCCTCCAACAGGCCAGTTCTAGGTTTGTGTTGTAATCATGAATCTTGGATTGTTCTCTTTAAGGTACTCTGTCGAGTTAGGAGAAAATACCCTTTCCCTGCCAGGGTGTCATCACATATGTAAGAAGGATATTGAGGAGAAAAAGTGCTGTCCAGGATTCTGGGGTACAGAGTGCTATGGTAAGTTTTTAATTTTTTTACAATCATCTCTAACTGTTGAATAAGTGAAACCATCTTTAACAGGAGGCATTAAATATACACTGAGGTGATTAATTTTCATTATTCCTTAAACACTCACAAGGTCTTCATTATCTATCTAGGAAGTTCAGCACAGAATCTCTTTGTTCCAGATGAGTTGAATCCTCTTGCATTTAACACATAACATAACCTCCTGCGGTGGAACTTCCTTTTGTCTCTTCTTTAAAAATAAACTTTTGGAAAGGGATGTTTTTGTTCCTCTTTAACAAAGTTTCCAAAGGAAGAGGAAGATCTTTCTGATGTCCCTCTAGTCTGCAGCACTTGTGCCACGTGTGCTGCTGTGTAGTCTGGGGTTAGTCAGCCATTCAGCCACAGAAAATAACCATCCCAAAGCTCCCACTCAGGTTTACGCCAAGTAATGAGAATTTGTTTAGTCTTGTCTCAAAAATCCAAAAGCAAGAACTACTAAGCTGAACATTTTTTCATATGATTGACTGCTGGGATAGGGAAAGACACTCTCCAGTTATGCAGAAAATGGGAGATTTTTTTGAGTGCTTGAGCCTGTCCTTGCAAAAAAGTGCTTTGAATAAGCAACTGGTTTTGTCAGAGAAATCACATGCCTAAAATGATCAGAAATAGTCCCCAGAACTTTTTCTGGGCACACTTACAGCTCTTCCTGAAGTCAGGGAAAGCTGGAAATGCTCAGTATCTTTGCAAAGCAGGCTCCTGTCTGTCCTGAGCTTCAGAATTCCCCTCAGATGCTTGAAATTGCCTCTCACTGATGCAAGCAGTGGCTCAACCTTAAGAAATGCTTTAGTGCCTTTGTTGAAATTTAGTTATTTATGGCCTATTGTGACTTTTCCTTAGACTTTTAATAAAAGGCTTTTCTTAGCAGCCCAACTGCTCCTTGGTGCCATTCCAGGCCACATTCAGCAGCTCTGGGGCAGTGTTATGTGTGCTGGATAATTTGCTGGTGAAGAGGCTGTTGCCTTTGTACAACTGGAATACCTGGGGGAGGAGAAGATGGAAAAAGGTGGTGGTGGTTCAATCTAATCTTGCCTGGCCTGTCTCTTACCTGTCAGAGTGTCCAGGTGGTTCTGAAAATCCCTGCAATGGCCATGGGACGTGCTTGGATGGGATGCAGCAAAACGGGACCTGCATTTGCAAGGTCAGTGCCTGGTTTATTCTGAGAGCGATGTGCTTTTGTCAGAGGGGGTTGTACAGTGTCTGTGCACAGGTTCTGGATGAAGGCTGCCCTTCTGCCTGGAAGGTCATTAGCAGCTTCTTCCATTCCAGCATCCGTGTCTGTGGTTTTCCTGGAGGATTGGTGTGGTCTGCAATAGCACTCTTGGTAAGGATATGGAGCTGGGAGGAATAGGAGGAAAGGAAAAAAGAATTGCATGAATGTAACCCCCTGATGAGTGCAAATAATCAAGATCTGTCTGTGGCTGCAAGAAGCCATGAAACAGTTGGCTCTTTATGAGGTGCACCTTTTCCAGATTTGGATGATATACTTCCCACGTGGATCAGTCCTGCACCTTGGAAGGCAGTCTCCCTCTTTCAGGAAAAGCAGGAGGAACCATAAAGAGAATTTAGGACAGATTTTTTTTCTCTCTTTCCAGACTTAATACAACAAAAGCACAAAAAATCCCTGCACATTTGAACTGTCTAGAGCAGTGTTTCTAAAATTTCTAGTTTCGTGGATCAATTCAGACTTGAAATTTTCTCTTATGAACTGTATGTTTTTAAAGCATCCTTAATTAATAGCTCAAATCCTACCTCTTGGACTCTTCTCTGAGAAAAGTTGGGTTTGGATTTAACTCAAAGACACCTTATATCAATTAAAATATATGCTGAAGGACCTCAAGCCCTGTAAAATCAATGTAAAAAGTCCCACTGGCATCAGTGAATTCCAGATTCGTTTTTCAGAGAGACATCAGAAGCCAGCTGTCTCTAGTCAGGACATCATTTCCTCAGTGCCCACCAGAATTTTGCTGGCATTTTCCATGCCCTCTGTGTGTCAGTTTACACTGTGGTCTCCTTTGCCATGGGGCTGGTTAGTGCTACTGGGGCACTGAACAGGTCAGTTTTCTTCACTCTACTGCTTCAGGCTGTCACTGAAAATCAAAAATGGGGAGGGATTTTGAACTATACCAATGTGTGGAACAACAGAGTGATACAGAAAAATAATACCTGGCACATTTTGGGGCCCTTCTAGGAGCAATACAGTGGGTTTGCCTGCCAGAACTGTCGAGATGAAAATCGTTTTGGCCCAGACTGTCAGTCAGGTAAGAACATGTAATTCAAGTGAAACCTCCACAAAAATAACTGAAAACAAGGAAGGAGAAGGGAGGGGTTGGGTGAGGAAGGGTGCTGGAGAGGAGGAGAGTGGCAGAGAGCTGGCAGTGTTCAATAGCAAGTGTCTGGGCATTTTGTCTTTGTGCCCTTCTCTGCTGTCCCATTAGACAAATGATTCTCAGTCTTTCAATCAAATCAGTCCATTTTTTCTATTGCAAATCTCTCTCTCCCCCCTTATCAGGGCTATCCCAGTTTCCTCTCTCTTTTTAGCCAGTTGTTACCTACATCCCTGAAACGACCCATACTCACTGCTCAACTGGTTTTCAGACTCCTGTAACTGCCCCACTTATCTCTCAGCTTCTTCCTTGTTGCCCTCCATAAAAAATCATTACACACAGTAATTTGCTTTTCATGTCTGGTGTTTTGGGAAGTGATTTATGACCAGTGCAGCCTGGCTGTTAAAGGAGCCCTTTTTGTCCTGCTCCTGGTTCCCTGTGTCCACACAGGTGAGATAGGAGTGATCTCATTGGTTGTGCTCATGTGTTGTGCACGTGTGCCTGAAAAACTGGTCTAGCTCTTGTGTTCAGAGCTGCTCTTGCAGGGCAGCACCTTGTCTTCTTGAGCCCAGGACATGCAATTTACCCTCTCAAAGCTCTGCCTGCCATGGCCAATTTTTATAAGGAGCTACTTTTGCTGTGGCTTATTGGTGGGAAATCAGGATGCCAAGTCCCAGGGCAGCTGGCCTGGAGCCCTGTGTGTGCCTGGAGCCCTGTGTGTGCCTGGAGCCCTGTGCCCTGCCTGGCAGCTGAAGGTCAGGTCTGTCTGGACTTCCCTTGCAGTGTGTGACTGTGTGCACGGGGAGTGCAACAGCGGCGTCGCTGGGAATGGGAACTGCACGTGCTATGGAGGCTACACAGGCCCCAGGTGTGACCAAGGTAAATACACTGGGAGCTGCAGAGGGGCTCTTAAAGTAACCTGAGCTGTGGGCTTGGGTGCATGTGTCCCTGAAGGTGGAGGGGGGCAATGAATAGGTTGGAAATGTAGGGGGAAGAGGATCTGAGCTTTGGCAATCTATCCAGTCAGAGGGAAGAGCTGGGGTCTGCTCCCCACTTTGTGACAGTGGCTCAGATGTACCACCCCTTTATGCCTCTGTTCTGCCTCTGGAAACCAACTAGAACCTTTCTTGTCCCTAAGCTTTGCGGGATCTGGCTACTTAGACTGCCGGGGATTTAGAGCTGCCTGCACTGCTTATATCCTCTGGCTTTTGTGCCAGCTTGGGGTCCTCTGGAAACCACATTTGCCTTCATGTTGAAGTAATAAGTAAGATAAGTTACACCTTCCCTCAGGGCCCTACATACTGTCTTTGCTGTGTGATTGCAGAGCTGTCCCTGTGCAAAGGCGTGACGTGCGAGCCCAACAGCGAGTGTGTGGTGAGGGATGGGACTGCAGAGTGTGCCTGCAAGCTGGGCTACAGAAAGCTTGGGAGCACTTGCCAAGGTGAGAAACTTCTCAATGACCCTAAATGGTCCCCTGTTTGGAAAAAATCTTATTGCATTGGTATCTGCAGATGAGTTTGATCACGGTGAACACAATGCCTACTTCACTGAAGAGGCTTAAGAACCGGCTTTTTAGGAATCCCTTTAAGATTAAGGGCTAAGTTTTTGTCTCTCCCCTCACTTGGTCATGAAAGCAAGAAGTGAATTAGAGTTGCAGGTTCCCTCTAGCACTCACTTATAAGTATGTACTAAATAACTGTGACAGCAGGGTATTGGTGAGTCTGAATCAGTTTAAATAAATAAGGTATGTGATTGACAGAGTTCTTCACTGACTTCAGATTTAAGTTTGTGAATTGGTTTTCTTAAAAGAGAGTCAATAAGATGCATTTGATGAAATAGGTATGGACAGCTCTGTTTTCACTGGCTTTTTGCAGATTTTGGTGATCAAACTGCATTTTCATATATCCTCAGATATGATGGAAAATCAGAAGTAAATCCAAGCATCCTCTGTCATGCACACTTCTGTTACTAAAGTAACTTGAAAAATGTGTCATCCAAATTCCTCAGATTTAAAAAACCCAAATGTCTGCTGTCTGAAATGATTTTATTTTCTTGTGAAATTTTAGAAGTTTAACAGTACAAATTCCTCCATTCTTTCCAGGCCTTTTGCATTCTGCTGTGCTGCAGCAAGTGCTGTTTTGAAAACAGAAATTTGGTTATACTCACCTCTCATCCCTTTACTTGCAGCTCAGGATCCTTGTTCTCCTTCTCCATGTTCCCCCTTCGCTGTATGTAAAGCTCTTGGATCACGAACATATCAATGTACCTGCAAAGAAGGATATCAAGGAGATGGGAACATTTGCCAGCCCATAAACCCTTGTGTTGACAACAATGGGGGCTGCCCAGAAAACTCTACAATTTGTGTTTACAGACGTCCAGGAGAGGTAAGAACAACAACAAAGGTGTGAAAAATGGCCGGGTGAGAAGCTCTTCAAATGAACTGGTGATTGGGTTGATCAGATCTGCTCTCCTCACCTTACACTTTGCAAAGGGAAACCAGGCAGCTCTTTCCTAGGGTAACTTAGTGGGTACAAGGTGATGAATGCAGCTCTATGATCACTGTGTTGCCTTCCCTTAGGCAACTTGTGCTTGCAAGCCTGGGATGAGTAAAAGAACTCCTTCGTCCGAGTGTTCTGCATTTCCCAATGATTGCCGGCAGTATTTTTGCGACGTGACTTCCAAGTGTGAGATTAATTCTCAGGGGAATCCTAGGTAAGCCAGTTTAAAGCCTGCAAATAAAGAAGCTTAATCTGCAGCTAGAACGGAGACTGAGTTGGGATGAACTGAATTTTGAAGAAACTGAGAGTGATCTCAGGAATATGGGCCACAGTCACCTTTTGAGAAGAACCTGTTTGTAACAAACCCATTGAAAGAGAAGTTTTACATCTGTCATTGTAAATTTTGGCATGTGGGTCGCAAGATGCTTTAAATCTGGGGTAGCAGGGCCTTCTGTGATGTGAACTGGAGATGTAGCCTCCCAGGTTAGTGGTAATAGTAGGTTATTATGAGTTAATCAATCATTAAAGGGGAAATATGTGATTTGTTTGCTCACATTTGCCCACACTTGCTTCTGAGGGATAAGTCTTTGTCTCTTCTCCCACTCAGGCCTATAAGCAGGAAATAAATTAGAGTTGCAGATGGACAGGGAAGGGAGAAATTGAGTGAAGGAACACCAGACCTCATTTAGTCCTTTGGAGCAAAACACCTAGAAGTTGATACTCCTTACATGGGAAATATTGCCAGATATAGGATCATTTTTGCATACCTGAGGATTTTGTGTGTTATCAAGAAAAGATGGAGCTTGACTGAGACTGAAGAGGGAAAGAGCAAGCCCATCTCCCTGACCTTTCCTTCTCCAGTGCTGCTGAAACTATTATCATCCTCCCGCTCCTCATGTGCTCCAGGCCAGGACTGAAACACAGTGGCTTCCCTTTCTGAAGATCTGCAGGCACAGAGCAGGACATCATGTTCAGCACAGTCCCTGCTTTATATATGTGTTCCCCAGCTGCTGGCACTCAGCCCTGTGAGGCTGGAGTGATGTCAAATCCCTCCCCTGTGTCCCATGTCTTTGCATGGCTGAAACAGAAAGAGCAGAGCCGATCTTGGACAAAGCCCAAACGGGAAAAAACACGGTTATCGGCCAGGGATCTTCAGGAGTCCCTGAGTAATGACTGTGGATCCGTGTGAAGCAGGACGGAGATTTTCACATGTAGATAAGCTTTTCATGAAAAGTCATCAGCCTGCCTGGGCCCCTCATTGAGTTGAGATGAACTGCAGATACCTGGTGTGCTTGAGCTGGCACTTCTCGCTGAAGCCAAGGGGTCACATAGGAGCTGTTTGCCAGATTGCCACTTAGCCTGTGATTTTTATGTTTTTTTATGCATTACCTCAAATTTTCAGATGTTGTAATCACTGGTACTGACTGAATATCAAGTTAGAAAGGTGTTGATAAATATATTGGGGATATCTGTACCCTGAACTATACAGCAGTCCTTATGTTGGTTTTATCAGAGAAAGCATCTTCATTCTTTTGGGATAGTCAAATTTCCTTGCTCTGCAGAAGTGTGCATCTTTTTCCCTGTCACTTAGTTTAGGCAGAAGTTACCCAGCTCTTACCTACGTCCCTGGAAGTGTTCAAGGCCAGGCAGGATGAGGCTCCAAGCAACCTGTCCAATGGAAGGTGTCCCTGCCCATGGCAGGGGGGTTGGAACAAAATGATCTTGAAGATCCCTTCCAACCCAAACCATTGCATGATCCTATGATCTTAAAGCCGGGATTTGTCTTTCAAGCCTGAATACTGATATGTTGTTCTAGTCACATTTGTTGAATGTGTTGCAAACTGGTTTATAATGGTTTGTTATGTTTCATTCTTGTCTCTTAGCTGTGTGTGTAAAGAAGGGGAGATTGGAGATGGGAGAAGCTGCTATAAAGATCTCTTGGGTGAAATAAATCAGCTCAATTTGCGAGGAAGGTTTGCTAGGAAATTTAACATCGCCAGGAAAATGTTTGGTAAATGTTTTTTGGTTTTGTTTGGGGTATGGAACAAATGTGGGCATGAGAGTGTGTCAGAAAGGGCTACTTTCAGCATAATAGATCTGTTTCACAATGTATGATCATGAGCTGCAAAATTAAACACATCACATCTCTGAACTTATCTTACCAGTTCTGGATTGGGAATTTGGGAAACTGTTCAGTATTATGTATTTGACAGAATGAGAACCCTTTGGGTCATGTCAAAGCTTATTTATGTTAGATACCTTCTCCAACTTGTCCTCTGCCCATCTTCTATCTCCACTGCCTTGGCAGGAGCACAGAGACAGGGCTAAAAGCTCAGCTTAGCTTTTGTGAATACCCCTCCTCATATCAATGTTGCCAACACTCATTTTTTGCATGTTTTCCATAATGGTTTATGCTATGGGCAACCACATGAAGATCTCCAGGTTCCTGACTCCTGTGCAGTAGGACTTAGTAACAACCTTTGTTGATTGAGTGACAACTGTGGATTCATAGCAGCTTCTCAAGAAGCAGTTAATGTTAAAAAATCCTGATGAGACACAAAAATTAGTTGTTTCAAGGGGAAGACTGGGCCCAAGAATAAGGTGGTAAGCATGGAGGAACAAAATTATTATCAATATTCTGCAGATTTCAGCAGTGATTCAAAGTGCACCAGAGTCACCAATCCTTCAGAAATCTTCTTGGCAAGAGCATAAAACTCATAGCAACCAAGCTGGGCTGTGATAACAGTACTAAACTCCCTCTGCTTCCTTGTAAACAAGTACTAGTTACTTGCACCAGGCTGATAATGTGTAGATTAATTTGTGCTGTTAAGGAGAGGAATAATTATTGCTGTAGTTAAACCATACACCAAGTAATTACTTCACATTGCCCCTCTTTTTACAGCTTCTGGTTGCTCAATGTTGCTGACTAAATACGGGCCCTTCACAGTCTTTGTACCATCCCTTCTTCCCATTCATGATAGAACGGAATTTAATGTAAGTTTTCTTGGGTTTAGTGAATTTTTGCTGTCTTAGGGTTCTTTCCTGTCTGAGTTCTGCAGCCTGTAAAAACTGATTGACAAAAGAGAGGAACTTTTGCAGGCAATATTTATAGAAACTGTCTCTTGGGAAGAGTTTTCATTGTCTGGTTAAGTAGCAGTCTCACAGAGGATGTTACATCCCTTACATTATTTTAAAAATCTCTGTCTCTTTCTTCAGTACTGATGGAGTTTGTTTGGTTTTAATGTCAGGAAGTGTGAGTCTTTCTGACCATTCTTCATTTAGAGCTTGAACCTCCTGTGTGTGACTATTCTCAAAACATTAGGTGGCTTTTCACTGCTTGAGGGTGGTGTTTTCAAAAGGGGCTGAGTATTGCATCGAAGTATTAGATTTTGGACCTATGGCCAGAAATGGTAATTCTGGATTCATAGAAAATACATCAGTAAAGGCCCCTGAGTTATCTAGTCTACCTGTTCCCAGAAGGATCAGTTCCACCTAAATCAGTATTGACCAAGGATTGTTTTACAAAAGCATCAGTGATGGAAAGTCCAGAACAGAAAAGAAGAAACTAAATGCAAATTTAACAGATTAAACCACCTACATCATTCAGCATCAACAAAGGTTATGTATGGAGAGCTTCAACAAATTTTATAATCTGGACCACGCAAGGATAGTTCTCAAATTGTCCAAATCCAATAGGTTTCTGTCTGGAGGATTCCTCTAAAGTCACTTGCAGGTTAATCAGTCTCCCCATGTTTGAATATGTACACAAACAGAAGTGAGAGTTTTGCCACAGTGCTACTCCAGTGATCCAAAATGAAGAGGGAAGTTCCATCTTGTATGCCAAGTATTTCTCTGTGTGTGTTAGCTGGGAGAAAGGTAATGTTATGGTAAATGAGGTTTCTGAAAGAACATGTCATTTATCTTTTTTCTGTGGGCTCTCTTCCCCAAAGGACACCACTGCTGAGCGGTTGTGCAGAATGCACATTGTTCCTGGTCTGCACTTAATAGAAGACATGATTAAAACCAAGACAATGTGGACCTTGTCAGGACACCAGCTGACGTTCACGAGCCAGGTAAAGCATCTCCTGAAGGCCTGGACCTCTGCTTTCACACAGGACAGACTGGAGCTTGAGCACTTCCCTAACCAGAAAACCTTTTCTGTAATCAGCCTGCCTGTAATCAGAACAGGCTCCTTTGTGGAGTCCAAAGTGAGGGGATTTAAGACCAGACACCCCAAGCAACCACATTTCCTTTCTCACAGACAACAAATTAGCAAGAATTTGACTTGTGAATGGTCTTTCCACGGTCTGTGTGTGTGTTCTGGAAAAGAGACCTTTTCCCTGCACTAGCCATTAGAAGCTACAATATCCATGTGGCTGACATGGAAGAGGCAGCAAAGTCTCTTTTCAGAGTGAATGCTTCCTTGGGGTTTGTGTGCTTGGACACAACCACGTGCTGAATATTTTCTCTCTTCTAGTTTCTCTTTTCCTCTCTTTCTATTTTATTTTTCTTAGTCTTTCTATCAAAGAATTTTTCATCATCCTGTCTTGATATGAAAGGCTCTTTTTTTCCCTTTTCCAGTTGACTCATGTTTTCCAGTCTCCACAGATTTCTCTCCATCCTGCACCTTTCCTGCATGCATGCTCACAGATGGCCAAGGGAGAGAGCCCTATTTCCTCTCTGAGGATCCAGCCTTGACCTTAAGGTCTAGGTCATAGTACATGTGCCCTGCATGTGTTAAAAGGACAAAGCACTATTTGGAGTCAGGGAATCCAGGCTGAGCTTGTCAATGCTCCTTTTAAAATTCTTTCCTGTTGGTTTACTCAGGATTCTTTTGATCTGGGAAGTCTGCCCTCCCCTTCCTGTGTTTCAGCCAGAATCCTCAGTGATGTGAACTGAAGTTTAGGGCAGGGAGGAGCAATTCAAAGAACTGCACATGCTGAAATGAAAAGCACAGGGAAGCTGTGCTTTCCTGAACTGGGATAGTGGCTGCAGCACCAACACTTGGATGTTTAGTTCATAGGTTACCCTTGAACCCCTTCATACACCCAGATTCAGTGCATGGCTGTGTACAAAGGGGAAGGACCAGATCTCTGCCTTGTACCTCACCGAGCCTGATGCTTTGGCTCTGTTATGAAGACTCCTTGTCAGCATCATGATTGAATAACAGTTGTAATCAAAGCTGTAGTTCCAGGATTGCCTCCAAATTCTGTACCTTGCTGCCCAGGGGGCACCGTGCCTTTCTTGTACTACCTTCTTGTACTTGGCAGCTCTTGATGGTCACAGCACCCCTTTGTGATCCAGAGCTGGGAGCAAGCATTGTTCACACTCGAGCTTAATTCTAGAGCTGATTGTCCCAGATGAGATTTTTTTTTTTTTTTTGGTACTAAGACTTAAAAGTATCCTCAGGATCTAAACATTACCAAAACTCAAGGAGAATGGGATGTCTGTTTTACACCCAGGCCGTCCCTTAAATTTACTTTTTCAAGAGTAACTCTGGTTGTGCCTTCACCTTGCTGACCTACAGGCAGAGAGCAGTGATTGATAGATCAGTCATGATAACGCAGATACACCACAAGAAAATAACCTTCATATTTATCCAGACATACATCAAGTCATTTCGATATCAAGACCTGCCGGGGGAGCTGTACAATGTTCTGCACTCAAACCTGCCAGCAGCCAATGGCATCATGCATGTGGTTAACACTCTGAGGAAAAAAACCAGCACTGACAACCTCAGCAACCCACAGGTATTCATATTTCTTCTCTTTTATGAGACAGCAGAATAAACACTTAAAAAAAGAGCAATTTTCACCATTAACCTTCCAAATCAGTGAGGATGTTTTTTAAAGGGAAAAGGCTTTTTTTTTTTTATTTCAGCTCCTGATAAGACCTGTTAGGCACTAGTAAAATACCATTAAAAGTAACTAATAGCACTGCATAAGCCAGATAAAGATCTTGCAATTATGCTTTTACAGTGCTTGGATAAGTAGAGAATTCTACTTCCATGAGTGAGATCATTCCCTTCATAGCAAATAAACTCTTTTTAAATTGTATCTTAAATAATATGTATCTTACAGGATAAACATTGAAAAACATTTTTCACATAAAAATCAAATTAAGATTTTCTTTAATTGGTCTGTACTGCATTTTGAAATTATAATCCAGAAGTTGTCTTTGCCTCAAAAATATTTAAAATGAGGACAAATAATGATTAGACTTCTGCATTCTGAGGTCATATCTTGAGTTTAAGACACTGGGTGGGAGTTTCAGGGTCAAGTTCTGCTAAATACTTTTCCCTGTTAGCTGGGAAATGGTTTTGTCATAGCTACTGCATTGTTAAACCTGAGCATTTTTATATTGTTTCTATATGCAGAAAGCAGGATCTCTTGCCCCCTACCTCCTTGCAAAAAACTTACAGAGAATGACAAAATCTCTTGGAATTGGTAGAGTTTTGATAATAATTTGCACTTACTTTACACCATTGTAGTTAATCTGTAAAAACAGACTGTGTAATGTTGTGGTTTTACTTTCTGTGTTCAAAAAGCAGCTGGAGTGTTGAGTGGTGGTGGCTCTTCAGTTGAAGTGCCTTGAGAATGGTGTACCAATTGTTCTGGGTATTCACGTGGATTTGATTGTGCCCATCTCTTTGAGGATGATGGTCTCCTGTAGCTCTTTACCTGCAAACCACAAACTGGGCATTCCAGTGTGTGCTCAGACCTCACTCAGCCCCTGCCATGTTTTTCCTCTCTGTGTCTTCTTGCAGAAAACCATTGGTGAGATCCTTGCTTCGATGGAGATCTTCAGTAGGTTTGAAACTATACTGGAGGTGAGTGAGTTTGTGTCTGGGGAGGTGTGGCATTGCTGCTGTACAAAACCTGCTGCTGCCTCGGGGGGAATTTTGAATAACATTTAAACACATCTCAGTAGTTTTCAGTAGCTCTGCCTCTAGTGTGTTGCTGAGTGTTTCCTCTCCCTTCCTGATGGACCCCCCTCACTAACCCTTGCTTGATCCATGATGAAATCTCTCACTGTTTTTGCAGAATTGTGGCCTGCCTGCAATCCTGGATGGACCAGGCCCTTTTACTGTATTTGTGCCCAGCAATGATGGTGTGGATAAGTTGAGAGATGGAAGGCTCATTTATCTTTTCACAGAGGTGAGAGCTCACAGTGCTGTAAGACATCCTGAGCTGACTGTGTTGCACTGGGCTGTGCTGGAATGACTTGTGCAGTGCATCTGGTCATCGCTGAAAATTCTTCTTCCTGGAGTTAGCTAAACCAAAAACTTCACAGTTTCTGTGCAGCTTTGGGAGAGAAGTGGGTAGTGATGGAACCTGCAGTGTTAGCCAGGTTGTTTAAATATGGTGCTTGGCTTATTCCTCACCCTGGCTTTGGTAGATGAAAATGAAAGAATTTACTCACCAAGTGAATTCACTGCTATAGACATTGGCAATGTCAGTCACTGGTTAAAAGAAAATTTATTTGCTTCCTCTTACTTCTGAGTGTTGAAGGGGTAACCAATCCTGATGTTGTCTTCTTTCCTTAGGGCATAAATAAGCTTCAGGAACTCGTGAGACATCACATCTACACTTCAGCAGCGGTAAGGCAGCAGCTCCCACTCCACAAAACTGGACTCCTTTAGACCAACATATTATCAACTGTCTTGTTTGGCACAGAGGTCACACTACTGGTGACTTCAGCTGCTGCTTCTTGGACTTCCCCTGGAGGAGCAGAGATGTGATTTAGGATCTGATGAGGCAAAATGTTTACCATGGAAGTGGTTGCCTAAAGTGACAGCTGTGCTCTCCATCAGGAAACTCTCAAGTTTTCTGGAGTGGTGGTGCTCCTTGGTTGGGTGGCCTTTACAATGAAAACATTGTAAAGATTTTGCTGCAGGACACAGAAATAGTTGTCTTGGTTCTCAGAACTTCTCTTTTCTCAAATCATTAAGTTTCTCAGTACAGAAGCTGCAGTTTACTCTTTTTTTCTGCCTTTAGGTTTATTTATTCAGTCAAAATATGTTCTCTATTATGTTTCTGGCTGCACTTTCATTGTTTATTTGATATGTCCAGGAAAATCCCCTGATTAGTCTGACCCCACTTGCAGCTGTGTTAGTAAGAGACAGTGTTAGTGAGACTTTACTTCAACTGTTCTGAACTCTTACACAAAGAATGAAAACCAAGGCAGCTGCCACCAGCACTGCTGTGTTTCTGGTATTGGAAACAAGTCACACCAGGTCCTGGAAGTCCCTCTGACCCATTGTTTGTTTTTAAGGTATTTCATGAAATGTAAATGTTAATTCCCCCTGAGAAGTTTTTCAAGTGGCAGGAATCGTGGAAGGATTATGTAAGGTGCACTGAAAAGACCCTGTTTTTTCCTGGTACCATCCCCTTGTGCTTTTATTTCAGGTGACAGTAGATAAACTGATGACGATGCCACAAATTGTTACTATGGCTAACCAGATACTTACCATCAACATCAGTGCAGATGTAAGTGTGAATCAAAACCCTTCTGGGCAAACCCTCCTGTGCTAGGAGAAAGTCTGGATGTGTTCTGAGCAAGTGATTTCAGCCCATCTCTGCTTCCTCCTCTGCTTAAAAAACTCGACTTAAAGGAGGTCATTGAATTAGTTTGCTTCTTATCATCCAATCTGTGACTCCACTAAGAGGCTTAACCATTTGTGTGGTTGCCCTTGATGTTGTGAGCCATCTGTTTCCCTCATTGCCTTTATGTAGTTGATGCTGCCTAACGGGCTAAAATTGTGTTTCTGCACCAGGGAAGAATTCTGATGGATGAATCAGGGATCCCCTTAAACATGCGAGACATTGTGGCATCAAATGGTATCATTCATACCTTGGATGGCATCTTCATCCCCCCCTCAATAATTCCCATTTTGCCTCACAGATGCAATGAAGAGCAACATAAAATTGTGACGGTAAGTCAGGTTGTCCCATTCTCACACTGGTGCTTGCTGTGGACCCCACACTGACCTGGAGGGACAAAAGCAGGCTGTGTACATTGCATTTGGGAAATGTATTCCCTCTGAGGGTTACCCTGATGTGAACTTTGGCACTATCAGCACCATCAGTGGTCCTTCTGCTCACACTTGGCACTGCTTTCCTGGTAATCAGCAAATGTTCCTTGTAGGTTGTTGTTCTTTCCATGCACCCATCCTACCTCCAATTCCTGAGTACATTTGCCTTTTCATAAGGCTTTCTTCACGCTGGAGTTGCTAACTCAGCTGACAATGCTTTGTTCCCACCTCTGTCAGCACTGGTGTCCTGTAACCTGGACAGGAAGCAGACATTCAGTAGCAGGAGCTACAAATGCTGTGTGATACTATTACATGAATAGTTTCATACACCTCATTTGAGGTGCTTGGTCCCCAGTTTGGTCATGGGTAGGTTACTGAAGAAAGAAGATGAGGCTCTGAATAGGCAAGGGGTTTGGAGAGGGACGGTTAATCCCTAGGGGCCAGAGGTTTCATATAATTTCCTGATTCAGTGTATGGATGCCCAAAGTGTTTTCCAGCCTAGTGTCTAGTGGCTGACAGACTCCCAGGGTGGAGACAGGCCCCATCTTGCAGACATGTGCAAAAGGAGTCATTTTATTAAAGTAATAAACTTAACCCATTTCAGAGTGTGGAAACTCCCTCCTAGGAATGTTTCAGATACACATTGTGATGTTTTGGATATATACAGTGAGGGGTAGCTCTGTAACATTCTTAGCATGTAGACTGGGTTTCTTTGAGAAGATTAATGTTTTGCCTCTTCTTTTCTTAAAAGGGCTCTTGTGTGGATTGTGAGGCCCTCAACACCAGTATTTGCCCACCTGGCAGCACAGAAATGGTAAATATTTGTGATTATTTTGGTAATTTCTTCTTTATATGATGACATACAGACACAATGATAGTTTCTAACCCAAGCCACTTTCAAATAGAGAGCAGGAAAGGCAACTAGCAGAGAGGCTTGTTAGAGGGGACAGACTCCCCACATAACCATGCTCAGTGAGCCCAGTCTGTCACCTACTCACTGCTCTGTTGCCTTTCTTATTCTGAAGTCTGTTTGCTGAATCAATGCACAGCATGGTGAGAAACTCTGGGCTCAGTGAAATTGTAGACTTGCAGCTTTTAGCACTTTTGTTCTGCCTCAGGCAGAGCTTTCCTGCTCACATGCAGAATCTGCCAACTCCTCCAGAGTCCCAGAACCAAGCCTGATCCCACTGGTACCATCCAGTACCACCACTGCCTATATCACAGCCAGAGGGTCACAACAAGCTTTCTGCATAGCAGAGGGTGAGAAACAATTTGTACTTGGCCTGTGCTCCCTGTTGGTTCAGAGCTGAGCAGAACTAGCTTTCTTCTTTTTTTTGTGAAAGCCAGAGAGGTGTTCACCACTGTTAACTGTTGGGTGTCCTCTGAGAGATCTGACTTTCAGGAGAACTTGTTAATGCAGTCTCAGCATGAATGCCTGCAGTAGAGCTCTGCAAAATCACTACTTGCTCATTTTCCTCCCTGACTGAGGCAGGTGAAGCCTGGGGAATCATCTGGGGCCCAGTTCTGCCCATATCTAATTCCATGACAGGTCACTGTTATTCCAAAATTATTTGCAGCCCTTTCCCCCCTCTCTCTTATTGTCTCTGTCTCACTTCCTTCCCTCTTAGTCTCACCCTCACTTATCTTTCCTCCCTCTCACACTCTCATTTTCTCTCTTACTCCCCCTCTGCCCCATTCTCCCTCCCTGCTGCCTTCTCCCCTTTTGTATCTCTTTCCTCCGCTCTTTCTTAAACTTTGTTTCCTCCCCCTGCCCTTTTGTCCCCCTTGTATCCTCTCCTCCCTTCCTTCCCCACTCTCCCTACCCTCTCCCCTTACTCTTGCTCTGTCCCTTATCATAGATACTATTATTGTAACTAAAGGGCAGCACCTTGGCTCAGACTTGGTGACTGCTGGGTGCAAGAGGAGGCCACCGTGTACCTTCACTCTTACTGGTGCTGCCATAACTGTATCTTGTTCACCTTGGCTCCTTGTGAACTTCCTCAGCTCACAGATAAGGTGTAGCTGCTCTCTGCAGCAAAAAGAGCAAAGGGGAAGGTGACAGTGCCGATGACTTGTTTTGTTTGTACAGGAACCAACGCTCTTCCCAAAAGAATGTGTCTACATCCATGATCCAGAAGGCCTGAATGTCCTGAAGAAGGGATGCGCCAGGTACTGCAATCAAACCATCACGGTGAGTGTGATGGAAAACCGCATTCCCTCTGACAGGGGCTCAGCTCTGCTCCTCCTCATTCATGAAGCAGAGCTCTGACTCCTTGAGCTGAGAGGGTTGGGTGGGATCTAAAGGAAAGCTGTCCCATGCCAAAGCTGTCCCCAGGACCATCACATGATGTAGCTACCTGCTTTTTCTTTGTCAGAGACAACACGGGGTACCAACCTGCTGCAAATATGAGAAAGCAGCTCAGTTAAACCTGAGTGCAGTAAATAAATAAAATAAAGCCCCCCCAAGTTGTGACCAGCCAAGCTGCAGGAAACCATGGGGCAAATGGTGCAGAGTTAACTGGGGTGTCCCAGCTTTAGCATTTCTCCCAAAGGAAGCTGAGCACGGGGAAAGTGCTGTAAGCTGTGAAGTGATTGCATCCTGTTTATGGACCATTGTCAGATGGCTCAGTAAAGTCTCTCTCTCCTTGCAAATTTATGGACCTCATGTTTGCCTGCAGCTCCTGAGCTCTCAAAGTGCCAACTGCATGGAATGATTTGGGGGTGTTTCATGAAATATTGCTGACTGTTTGTCTTTGGTTGTTCTTCCATTTATGAGTCGTGACAAGGCCAGCAATCCAGGACTGCTGCATCCTCCAAAGGAATGCAGTCCTGGGCAAGAATAAAGAGGGAGCGAGTGGGCCAGCACTGTTAAAGAATTAAAAGCTCATAGAAAACATGGACCCAATTTGTTTAAGTCAGAGAGAGAGAGCAGAAAATAGTGGTTTGTTCTGAGAACAGTCTGTGAGCAGAAAGCAGGATTTTATTGAAAAATAAGTGCAGGAGGTCCTAGACACACAGATGCCAAAGGTGACAGTCCATTTCAGTCCGTGGCAGAGACGAGGATTTCAGAGGTATGAGCACAGGATGGCTCCAGGTAGTTCTTGTCAAGTCATGCCATACCTTACCAATTTTGCTTTTGTTTCAGAAACCTGGATGCTGCAAAGGATTCTTTGGTCCAGACTGCATGCCATGCCCAGGGGGATTTTCCAGTCCATGCTATGGCCGGGGAAATGTAAGTGTGAAGGATCTTGCTGCATTGCAATGAGCAGTTCCATCAGTGTGGTTTGAGGGTGTAGTTGTAGGTAGGTACAATTCAGAGTTTGTGGTCTAGGGCTGAGCCTGCAGTGGTAGAAGCAGAAGATCCAAAGAAAATGGCACATACTCAGTGAGTTTTCTTTCTTGACCTCTAATGCGAATCAGGTCATGGCTGTTGTGGGATTTTGCATTGCTACCACCACTCTTCAAAGTCCTATTTGTTACTGCAAGTATCAAAGTGCCTTTGATGGATATCAGTGTCTTGGCTTTCCCTTTGTTCCCTGAGTTTCAATCATTTTGATTTCATCTTTGTTTTCCTTGCAGTGCAGCGATGGCATTCAGGGGAATGGCAACTGTCACTGCTTTGAGGGTTTCAAAGGAACAGCCTGTCACATCTGTGCAAACCCAAACAAGCATGGCGAGAACTGTGACGAAGGTTGGTGACTCTGATGGAGAAACTAGAGGAGAATGTAGGACAAGGATATAGTGCAGGTTCATGTATCCTGGATTCCCTTCTGACAAGACCAATGTCATGAAAGAAGTGATAGAAGTGCCATCATGGCTGTCCCTTCAAACAGCAGCGGAGAAAACACATTTGATATGACAGTGGTGATGGGAGTTTTGGAAAAATCAACCAAATTTAGATCTCTCCTGCTAGGAAACAAAAGATAGTTGACAATGAACTTGAGCTTGATAGACTAAATTTGAGCCTGTCCTTACAACCTATAAATAACATGGATCCAGGATCTGTTCCCTGGCCAGGTTTTGAGTTATAATGGATGTCTCTCAGCAGATGTCTCTCTGTCAAAGACAAATGGGATGATAACTGAGGTTGTGAAGGAAAGTTGAGAGTCTACACTGTGGTGGATGTTGGACTTTTTGTACTTACTGATCTTACTCCATGTGCTTGACAGACTGTGGTTGTGTCCATGGTGTCTGTGACAACAGGCCTGGCAGTGGTGGTGTGTGTCAGTCCTGGTCCTGTAAGGAGGGATACACCGGGAAATTCTGCGACAGGACATCCAAGAACTGTGGCCCGAGCGGGCTGTCTCAGTACTGCCACCAGAACGCTGTCTGCAGCCTCAACGACACAGCAAGGTCAGTCTGTGTGGCAGGTGCACTGAGGGGCACATTGTCACTGCACACTGTCACTGTGCAGGCACTCACAGCTGTGGGGCTGCCAGCCCGTGGCTCTGTGTGTGTGTGTGTCTGTGTGCCTGTCTCACAGGACTGTTTGAGTGACTCAGCCAACCTGCTAGAAACCAAGTCAGGCTCTTCCTTGCTTGAGAGGCTCATTCTGCCTTTGTGCTCTCTGCTGGCTTTCAGAGGGACTGCTCCACCTGTGTCCCTTTTGTGCTTATACTTTTAAGGTGCATCTGCATGGATGGATACGAAGGTGATGGGTTTTCCTGCCAGCCCATCGACCTGTGCAGTCAGCCAGAACGGGGAGGTTGTTCACAGAATGTAAGTGGGGTCAGACTGTGAAATGTGGAGAAGCAGCTCCTGTCAATCAGAGCAGGGATCCAGGACTCCTGGGGCTGTTACAGACTTTGTGTGCTAAATTTCCCTGTCTGTAAGATCAGGTGGAATAGCAGGTGCCTGAACATGGTCATTGCAAAGATGTCAGTCATTTGAATTGGTGCCAAAATGTGATGCTCCAAGGAGAGTTTGGATGGTTTGCACCAGATATTTTGGCAGCTATAGAAATTAGCTGTACAAATAATTTTTGGTTTGCATTGATATTCCCCTCAAGCTCTTCTAACATGTATTAACTTCTCTGTTGTGGTGTTCAGGCTGTAGCTTAACTGTGAGCTCCTACTCACATTTCCAGTAGCCATTATTATCCATAGTAAAAAACATGATGCTTTATGATGACAATTACTGCCAAATGGTCAAACCTCATCACAAATTAGACTCCTCAGCAGGAGGAAGATATTTGGGCATGTAGAAGGAAATAGGATGTAACACTCAGTACGAAGTAGGTCTTTCCTGAGAGAGATCTGCTCTCCATCATTAATTTAATCCCACATGTGAGGCAGGAGATTGTGGTCCTCCTCTTTAGGAAATACTTTTTCTATAATGGAAGAGCTTTACAGGATGATAATGAATGCCCTGGGGGTTCTGAACCTATGCACAAGTGTCTCCCTCTCTTAAAACACAAAATGTTTCCAGAATCACTTTACTATGAAGTTTTCTATGACTTTTGTGGAGAAGATGCTTCCATCCCTAGTGCTGGAACCAGAGTTGGTCATTCAGAAATTCTCCACAGTGTGATGAAGGAGATTTGTTGCTGTATTTTCACTGCTCTCTCTCCCTTCTACTGAGTGTAACTCTTTCTCTCTCCCCTCTCCTGAAGGCCCTGTGCACCAGTACAGGCCCTGGCACTGCCACCTGCCAGTGCAACGTGGGCTGGACCGGGGATGGGAAGGTGTGTGTGGCCATAGACAACTGCATGCTGGAGAGCAGAGGGAACTGCCACCTCAACGCTGACTGCGTCTACATCGGCCCTGGGCAGGTATGGGCAAAGCTGGGCAGCCTGATGGTGGACTTAACATTTCCTCAGCTGCTCTGAGATGGCCTGGGGTTGCCAGAGGTGAAAACTGGGCTGGCCAGCAGCAGAGCCTGCTTGTCTGCTGCCAGAAACTCCAGGGGCAGCTGCAGCCTCACAGTGCGCTGGCATGTGAAATACACGGGTGTGTTTGGGGATCCTGCTTGACTCTGAGAGTTTCATGCAGCAAAGGGAAGAGACCAAGCTTCATAATCCAGCTTGGTCTAAGGCATCAGTTGCTGCATCCCCTGTTCCCAGACCACAGCACTGATAAGCATGTGCAGCTGTTCAGATAGTCCGTGGAGGGAGCTGGTCCAGGAGGAAGGCACACAGGAGAGGTGGCTTCCCAGGGTGCTGCTTCTCAAGGTGCTTCTTCCCACTGAACAAGGGGAGTGTTGGACAATGTGCTGAAAATAGGTACCAAGTCTTTAGCAGATTTTAGTGAGGTGAGATGTGAAAGCAGCAGGCTTTGAAATTAACTCCTTTCCTCTTTCTGCCATTCACAAAGTCTGTGTCATTGCCTGAAAAATCGGAAATAAAGGTGGAAACCATTGTCTTCAAGAGACCCCCATGGCAAACAGTGCAAGGGATCAATGCACTTGAGTAACCAGGCAGCGTGTGTGCTGTGAGAGAGGATGATGCTCTGCTAAGGAAATATCTCCACATTTCCAGGTCTTGAGGGACCAGGAGGAAAACTTGGGAAAATAAATAAAGTTTTGCTGCCCTAGACCCATTTTGGGTAGCAAATGAGGACACTGATATTGTCTCTTTCTTGCAGAGCAAGTGTGTCTGCAAGAGGGGTTATGCTGGGGATGGCCACAGCTGTGATGCAATCAACCCCTGCCTCATGGACAACGGCGGCTGCCACGACTTGGTGAGTAGCCAGAGAGCTGTCTCAGGGCTGGCACGGCAGTGGGAGTTCATCTACTCCCTGACAGAGGATTTGCAGCCATGGCATTGAGAGAATTGCAAGGTTTTATGTTATGTCACCTTACTGTCATGCCACCAAGATGCTGTGAAGGTGGATCCTCTGATTTTTGTGAGTTCACACAACCAAAGATATCACGTAAGCTTAGCAGCATGAGGTGCACATTCAGTGCCACCATACAGACAATAGGAGGAAGGTGCCTGTGTGTGCTGCTCTAGCCCAGGCTGTGGAAGGCCAGAATTCAGTTCTGAGACTGGGGTAACACTGCACCACCTGTGTTTGCTCTCTAATTTCCCCTTTCCCTGTGTTCCCAGGCTACATGTGTGCCCCTTGGTGGAGGAGAGAGATCCTGTGTTTGCTCTGAAGGCTACATGGGGGATGGCATGACGTGCTACGGGGACATTCTAAAAGTGAGTGACAAGCAAATATCTGAGATCCTTTTGGGGCTGGAGAGAACTGGCTCTGCTCTCACTTTACTTTTTGCTGTTACCTGAGTTGACTCCTTCTCCCGGCACCAGCCTGACAGCACAAGTGTATTCCAAGGCCACAGGGACAGAACTGATGCCAAGACCAATTTTCACCAGTGAAAAAATTGGCAATAATTTCTAAGCTGCTTCACCACTGGGCAGGGTGCACCTGTCCTGTGCAATAAGTCATCTTTTCTTTGTTGTTTAGAAGGTTTTTCAAGTCAGAGCTTGCCAGGCCCATTTTCTGTCTTTAGAAATATCAAAGGCCACTATGGATTTAATCCTTGTTCCTGGTAAACATGAGCAATTGCAGATGAATTGAAAAGAGTTTATTTGGGAATATAGATTTAATGGCTGAAATTTGCATTTAGGAGTGCCCATCTCTCCTCACAATACGCAGTACCTGTGCTGGTTGTGAAGTGAGAGGAATGTCTAAATCATTATTGCCAGATTTGGTATTGCAAAGGGTTCCTTTCCCCCAGCCTTGCACCCTGTGCTCAGCAGGGGTAACTCTTCTGTTGTTTCTCTTTGGAAGGAGCTGGCCAGGAATTCCCACTTTGCGAGTTTCTACAGCTGGGTTAAGGTAAGAGCAGCCAAGGGATGCCCACACAGGTAAGGTCTGTAGAGGTGAAGTCTGTGAATGCTGCTCTTAAAAGACCAGCAACTCCATTTATCTTTTTCATTAGAGAAAAACAAAAAAGCAGTGAAGGAGAAATTGTTATAGAGCAGGCATGTAGGAAAGCTGTGGAGTTTGTGGTACAGTGAGGGTCATAAGTGTGTTTTGGGGGCCTTGTTTCTAGCACAGGAGGGAGCTGGGGCTGTGTTACACTGAATTTTCATGGTTGTACCATCTGTAACTCCTGGCCATCAAAAAACAGCTCAGAAGGAAAGAAGAAAGGGTAGCATGGTAATGCTATTTTTCAGAAGAACATCTTTTGAGAAGTTAGACTGTATGTTTGCACCTTTTCTTGTTACTGCTTCCCTGTCTCTGGTGTGGGAATGGCAGAGACACTCCACAGACTGAAGCAAGTCTCTGGAAATGCACTATGATGGATGGCCTTTAACTGAGCTTTAGCTCACCTGTCCTGCACCATACACTGCTTTTGCCAGCAATAATCTTGGTCCCTCCCCTAAGAGTGATGTTGAGGGTTCAGAAGGGGTTTATGGCTATGACTGAATGGGTTTAAAAGGTAACTGCAGCACAAAAGTAAGGCTTAAAGCAGTGGGTTTTCCTTTGGCAATCATGCCTGGGAGAGCCAGGAGAGCCTGCTGTGCTGCTGAGCACATGCTACCTTCCTACACATCCCTTTCATACGACTGTGAGAGTGGGATGGCTGTTGGTTGTGTTTTGCACTACAGATGTAGCAGTGGCGTGTCTTATTTGTTCATTTTTGTGCTTTGGACAACAGAAATCTCTCTTCAGCATCCCAGCAGGAACCAATGTCACTGTCCTGGTGCCATCAGAGGCAGCTATCAAGAACTTGAGTGACACTGAGAAGGATTTCTGGTTGACCCCCTACATGCTGCCATTTTTAGTCAGGTATGAGGAGCCTCCTGCTTTTCGTTTACTCTGCCAAACAGCAGTAACAGAGCCATGAACTGGATTTCTGCTTGCACATGACCAATAAGGAGTTATCTTGAGATAAATATAGAAGGAAATTTAAATATCTAGCAGGCAAAGCACTTAGTAGGCATTTAAAACATAACAGACCACAAACCATTGGAAATGGGTTTTTTATGTATTTCACGTATTTTCAGAGAGAGATTTCTGTGTATTTTCAGAGAGAGATTTTTTACACAGATGGCATCAGAACAAGTAATTCCCTCCATTGTTCTCTCCACATGCTTAATTACTTTATGTGAGAGATGTGAATGTTGGGTGGTACAGTCTTATCTCCCTGTTGTTACCAACAGTTCCTTAATCTTTTCTTTACCTGCCTTTGTTCCCTCCAGGGCCCACTTTCTGGAAGGTGTCTTCACTGCTGAAAAGCTCAAAAAGTACGATGGGCCAGAATTACCCACTCTCAACCCACAGACCAGATGGCAGATAAACACCACGAGCAGTGTAAGGGTTTCTTACATAAGGCTCGTGCACCCATCTCAAATTTGACTGTTTAAGAGCTGCTGCATCCAGTGGGGAGCCTGGGTGGGGCAGCGATGCCCTCAAACACAAACGTCTTTCAAAAACTGTATCCACACTAACCATGTGCAACCTTGAAAGAAAATATATCTGGTTTGCACTTACTTGGTAATTTCTAACCTTTTTGCTTCTCCCTCTGGTACTTTTGCAGGTATTAACCATCCAGAATGCAAGTATAGTTGTCAGTGACATCCCTGCCAGCAACGGCATTATCCATGTCCTCAGTAAGGTACGACACTGGGAAACACTGCAGCTGTAGCAGCAGGTTTGTGTTGCAGCCTCTGTAGTGGGGCCAAGGAGGAATACATGTCTGGACAGTTAGGAAGGGATATAAAGGCAAAAATATATCAAGTTATCACAAGTCCTGACAGATGTTTCCTGTGCAGCACTGTTTAATGTTTAAAACATTTGTCTCCAGGACAAGCAGGAGGGGAGTTCCCTTCTCTTGGCTGACAGAAGAAGTGTCCAGGCTATTGCAGAATTGTGTAAAATGAGGCCTTTTCTAATTGCCTTTCTTGCAAGCAGGGCAGGAATCTGATGTGACTCCCCACAGGGTCCCTTGCCCAGCCCTGCTTATGAACTCACTTTTCCCCCAGGTTTTGTTACCGCCTTCAGGAGATGTCCCACCGAGTCCTCCTGGGCTGCAGGAACAGCTCGAGTCAGTGGCCTCATTCAGCACATTCAAGGACTTGCTAGAGGTAAGCAGCTGAGGTGAGCACTGCTGTCACTGTCAGAACTGTCTTTTGAGCAAAGTCCCACCTTACCCTCTACTGGTGGACCAAAATTTGGACTGCCTGGTGAGGAAAGGGAGATCACCCGTTTCCCACCATTCATGAGGAATCTTCTAGGAAAGCTCTTCTGAGCAGCCAAAGAGGTATGTAATTACAGTTAGATCTCTAGATCACTGGCATGTATTACAGTGGAAGATGACCTGCCTGCTGCAGGTGCTCTCATGCCTGACAGGGCAGAGAAGCCTGGAGGGAGGGGAAGGCTTGTTCATAGCTGAGAAGGTACGCTTAAGTCAGCCAGGACGAGGAGCAAGCAATCAGATGTGTGTGACTGAGCAGAAGTTCTATATTCCACTTTCAAGCATTTCCTCTTGCCTTTGTAATTGGTTTCATGTGTAGTTTGGTTTTTAGTGAGTATAAGAATAATAACTAATGTTACTGTTTGGACATTTTTTAGCAATACCAGCTCACTGGGAAGATCGAGTCCTCTGAAAAATACACCATTTTTGTTCCTGGAAATAATTCCATTGAGGAGTACTGCCACGCTGCCAATGTGACCCAGTTGGTAAGCTCACTGCCTGCTTGCAGCCTGAATATGTACACACTGTTTCACCGTGGAGAGGAGACACACATCTGATGCTAAAAGCTGGGAGAAATGTGGCACAGAAATGAGAGCGTGTCCTGGGGTGTTGCAATGGGATCTGAAAAGAATATCAAGGCTCAAATGCTGATTAGATTAGTATGTGGATAGGTGACACGATATATTCCCTTTCCTGGCTGGCTATGGCACATCTGTGACAATTTTCAGACTTCTGGAAGGTCTGAAAACATTTAGGGCTTCATCAAGTAAGAGAATTATTGTGTGACCAGTCACCTGTGATAGAGAGTTACTAGGTTCTGTGGGCTTAATTAGCTGTTACAGATGCTTAGGAACATTTCTTATGCCATACCTCTGACTGAATTGCAGGGAGGAAGTCAAAATAGTCCTAATATTTGTATTTTTGTGGATTTAGGACAATGCAACAGTGCAGTACCACGTTGTACTGGGAGAAAAGCTCTTGCCCACAGACCTGAGAAGTGGAGTTCATAAGAACAGCATGTTGGGGCTCTCCTACTGGCTAATGTTTTACCAGAACAGCACCCAGGTAAGGGAGGCAGACTGTTCTGCCACTTGAGGATCTGACTTGACCTATCACTTCCTAAGGCTGGGACTGGATACACCCATTTCTATTTTCCACACCCTTGCAAGTTCACTGCTGTGACTGTCTGACAGCTGCCAGGCAATCCATACAAAAGGAGTTTTCTTCTTGCTGTTTTCTTCTGCTTTGCAGAAGTTTGTCAATAATATTCCTTTGGATGGAAAATTCCTCGAGACCAAGAATGGAATGCTGGTCGGGGTGTCGCAGGTGCTCCAGATACAGAAGAATCGTTGCACTGCCAACACCACCACCATACAAAAGGTAATGGTGGTGACCAAGGAGCTGATCACCATTTCTCAGGGTTTCTCCACCTGCTGAAACAAACTGATGGATAACAGACAACCTGCCTTGTCTCTCCTCATGGATGAGACAGTAGCTTGTGGTCTGACCCCAGCTGAACCCCATGTGAAATGGGACATCCTGGAGACTTGGCACATCCTAGACTCAGATTCTGTACTTCTAATGCAACAGATCTGCAGCTCTTGTGCAGATCACATTCAGTTCCCTTGCTGGGGCTCTCTCAGTGTTCCAGCCTTGGTGCAGGCTGATGCAGGGACTCCCAGATACTCAGCTGTGGAAGGAGAATCCAGTCCAATTCTTGCATGCCATGGCCACAAGCTGCCCTAGAAAATGCTGTCTGGGCTGCCAAGGAGTCATGGCCAAAGTCCAGCTTGCATGAACCTTGCGGCTCTGAAGATTTCAGGGTCAGACTGAGGTAGGTCTGCCTGCTACAGATCAGAAAAAAAGTATTTGCAGCCTTGCATGAAGGAACTCCAGGTCTTGAGAAAGCCCTACCCAGCTCAGAGATTCAGGAAAGGTGTAGCACTTGATCTCTTCTTTTGGTGTTTTGAGCCATGGAGTTAAATACATCTTTGTCTTTGTCCCAGCCAGCAGCCAGTACAACACCATTTGTGCAGTAATTCAGGGTTAGTGTCTTGGTGTGATGTGGGTAGAGGGCACACATGTGACTTGTCCTGTTCTCTGTGCCCTAGTCAAGATGCGGCAAGTGTGAGAAGGGGATCAAGTGTCCTCCTGGATCAGTTCTTGTGGTGAGTTTTTGATTCATGTGACAGTTCACAGACTATTTGCAGATAGTGCTTTGATGTCCTTTTATTGCTCTATGGATGATATCTTGATACCTGAAAAAATGTGCCCTTGAGTCCTCTGTGGCTCATCCATTACCAAGGTTTGTAAGAGAAAGCAGAAATCAAGGGAAGGTTACAGAGAAAAAACATGGGCATGGATCACGAGGCTCTGTACAAAGCTTTTTTAGGACAAAGAATTTTAGGAGCCCTTTAGTTTCCCCACTTAGCAGAGAAGAAAAGATGTCTTTTTTTTTTCTTCATCTTTCACTCTTTCCACATCAAGGAAAGCCAGTTTAGAGGTGCCAGCAGCAATTTCCCTGCCTGGACCATTGGTTTGTTTACACAGATGGGCTGGTTGTGCCTGTAGCTTGCTTGTGAGTGACAAACATTTCCAGAGAGGAAAATAACTAAGCATCTCATCTCCATGCTGACTGTGAATTGCATAACAGCTACATCTGGCTTCTTAGGCTTCATTGCTTTACTCTATGCCCAGAATTTTCCAATTCTTTCTTCTCATTATTCAGACTGACATGTGCAGCAAGGATTTGGCAGGTGACAGAATTGACTCTGTGTGGTGACCTCACATCCAGAGATGCCTCATTGGTCTCCACTCTGGATAGTCCAAATGTTTAGGGCTGTTCCTGTAGGACACAAAACAAGATATGAACTAAAACCTACATTGTTTGCTTAAATATTGTAATATCTTTTCTCTGTGTCTGTATTAATTATACCCTCAGGAGCTGCCAGGGAGCAAGAATCTCGCTCGCTGCGAGCTGCGCTCCGGGGACGCAGGGATACTTGGCTGCCATTTCACCTGTGCAAAAGTTTCTCTGGTGAGAAAAACATTTGCCTCTGATTCATTTTGACAAAAGTGAGATGGGTATCAGCAGTACAGCTATGGAAGTACAGGCTGTGCTGAAGTCCTGGCTGTGTCTATGCCATGGCATAGCTGAGGCTGGGCCTGTCTGGGATCCGCTCTCCATCCTGGAGATGGAGGGCACTGGAGCAAAAACAGACCTGCGGGAATGTCTGCACAGTGATGGATTGTGATCTGCTGCTTTGGTATTGTTGCCCTGGGTTTTGTCCTGCAGAGGAAGAGAAGGAGTTGAATGTTTGTAGTCTGGTTTCCTGAGGAAGTGAGGCATGAATGATGGTATTTTCCTTATGCATGTGCCTTCCCGAATAACTGATGACTAATTGGAGCCGAATCAAAGGGAGGAGCAGAAGGTCTTGCACCTTATGTTAAATGACAGCCCCTACCAGTTTTGTGAAAGTGTGTGTCTGGGATAAAACACTTGAAAAGGAAATGGCAAAAGAAAAACTTGCATGAATTTGAGGTCTTATAGGTATTGCAGCATCTCTTGGGAAAGTTTAGCGGGAATGGGAGATTGAAGAGAAGGAAGAGAGGGAACTGGATATACAGAGAGAGCTTCAGTCAGCACTTATACCTCACCGGGCACTTCTGCATCCCTTCATTAGATGATGTTTCTTTTCATCTATACTTGGTCCCATCATGGTTTCTTCCCTCCATGGGTAGATGCAGAAAGAAGAGAGAGCAGTTAATTTAGGCTTTGGAATCAAATCAGCCTTTCTCTGCCCAACAGAGAGACACAGGCAGGAAATAGGCTGGAGGGGCACAGAACTAAACATCTGAGTTACTCACCAAAGGGCCAGTGTTGCTCAAGGGCCATGCAGACCTTTACATGAAGCTCTGGGCCACAGAACACCCTGATTTAGGGTGTTCGCTCCATCCTACCTGTGCACACACCTGGCTCTTTCATGTGTTGTCAGAACTATGGCAATTACGTAGTTAAACCAATAGAGCAGCTTCCCCAGTGAAACTGCACCTCTCTGTGCCGCACAGGGTGGCTCATCCCAGCTTGTTCTTGTTGGTTTTCCAGAGGTCCGTCTGCTGCCCCGGCTACTACGGACACATGTGCGAGATGTGCCCAGGGAAGCCAGGCCAGTGGTGCTCCGGGAACGGGGAATGCCAGGATGGCATGGAGGGCAGCGGAGAGTGCCGGTGCCTGGAGGGTTTCCACGGCACTGCCTGTGAAATGTGTGAAGTGGGACGATATGGAGCTGACTGCAAATCAGGTGACACCAATGCCTACTGCAGCTTGTCTCGAATGTCCTGCTTGCAAAGGGAGAAAAGTGGCCACATCTCAGCTCTTGGGGGGGGTGGTGGGAAGGGAGAAATATCCCAAAGGTTCTGAGACAGGCAAATGGCTGGCAGGCCACGAGAGTGGGACAATGTGAGTGAGTGAGTGAGTGAGTGAGTGAGCGAGCGAGCGAGCACTTGTGGTCAGCCAGAGGAGTGGCCCCATTTTTCATCCTCAAGCCAAAGCATGTGCTGTGCTGTGCTGCTCATCCTTGGTTTTGCCACCCAAAACCAAGATGTTTTTCTACAGAAAGTAGAGGCAAGTGGTCTATTCCTGGGCTTTTTGGCCTGGCAGTGAGGGAACAGGAGCTGATACTCCTGTGACATTTTCTTTATGGCACTTTGGTGAGTTGGATTAGGAACAGAGCAACCAGCAAAATGGCAGCAGGTCTCTCTGCTTGTGAGAGCTGGTTGGTTTGACAGTGATGAGTGTTTGTATTCCCCCTGCAGAATGTGCCTGTGACAACGGGATATGTAACGATGGACTGCAAGGGGACGGGAGCTGTGACTGCTTCCCAGGGTGGAAGGGCCCCACCTGCCAAGAGAGTACGTGAGTGTGAAGGGGCCTGTGGTGTAACACTGTCTTTTTAGCACAGAAATCTCTGTGATCCTCTTTAGTTGCCAGAGGAATTCTGTGTTAGCTGAGCAAGGTGACCACAGTCTCATTTTCATCCTCCTGAAAGCTTTTCAGACTATGCTCGCTCATTCCCAGACAGAAGCTGCATTTGTAGTTTAACTTCCCCAACAGCACATGAACCCTTGGATCTTTGGATGAAACTCATATTGAGAAAAGCCCATCCCCTGCTTCCTTCTCCACTGAGACTGGGGCACCACAATAACAGCCCTGTGAGAGAGAGAGATGGAAGCTTTCAGCCAGATTGGGTTGACCATGACTCCTGTTACTTGCCTAAAAGGGTGGCAGGACTTCACTTGAATTTTAAAAGGGCCACAGTGTGTCTGCAGAGCTGCTTTTTCTGCTCACAGATCTATTCATTTAGGTGAGCTCAGGCTGTATCCTGACATTATCAATAAATCTGTCATTGTGTGTCAAAATAACACGTTGAAGATGGACTTGGGATTTTGTTTAGCATTTGGGTGGAGAGAAACCTGAACTTCTAAATACTTTGGCATTTTAAAGGTTTGCATGCAAAGACTTATTTTATAGTGAAGTCAAACGCTTTGGGGATATTTAGAAATAGAAATTGAGTGGAGATGTCCTATCTAGTGTAAATGTAAAGCATGAAAACAGTTCATCTTTTGCTTTAAAAGGGCCAAAGCCAAATGGCTCTGTATGTCTGGATTAATGAGGCTTCAGTCCTTGTTTCATTCCTAGCAGTGTGGAGGCCTTTTGCAGGGCCCATTTCTCTAGCTGGCAGAAGTGGCCCCAACAAGTGCTAAACTGAAAATGCCAAGTCATGTTTGTGTCTTCTCTTGCAGGAATCAAGACTGACCTATGCAATAACACCTGCCATCAAATGGCCAAGTAAGTGCAGACAAGGGGCTGAGTCATCCATGTGTGTTTGTGAGTGTTTTACTCAGAGGTGATTCTGTGTTTAGGCCTTTGCAGAGGTGTGGGAGAAGGTGCCTACTCATTTAAAATGGAACTAAAAGTTAGTTCCATTCTGGGAACTCTCTTTGGTGCTGAGCTGCATCCGTTTTCCCCAAGGATTTTGTCTGTCTGAGCATAAATTCATTCCAAGTCCCTTCTGCATGTGTGGATGGCCTGGATGCCAGGTCCTGGCCAGCATGACTTGAGTGTTTGGTGCTGTAAAGAAATCCACAGCATGTTCCTCCTGTGGTCATTGTGGGCTCTGCACATGCCAGACGTGTTCTTGTTGTCCCACTGGCTGAGCAAATCAGGAGGTGCCATCAGTGATTGTTTAACCCTTTCTTGTTTCAGCTGCCTCAATAGTTCCACAGATTCCCTACCTATGTGCTTCTGCTCTGCTGGATACACAGGGAATGGGACCCATTGCACAGGTACATCCACCGAAGACACGGTGAAATAAATTCTGTGATGTTGCCAGAACAGAGATCACTCAAATCCTTTTCCTCTCAGTCATCCATCATGAGCTCTGCTGTGCTTTGGTAGAGAAGTTTTCCAGTCCAGAGCTTTACACAGGATGCTCTTGATGTTGCTAAAGCCTGTGAGAGAGGGATAAAAAGGCAGGAAAGTGTAGGAGGGCAGTTTCTATTGCCTGTGGAGAGAGATGCACATGAATGGGTTGTATTTGTCCTGATATTACAGCAATGGTGGCAAAGATATAACAGTTTTGGCCATGAATCCCTGGAATATGGATGTTTCAACTCCCTAGAACTTTGTGATTCTTCTATTTGCTGACCATGCCAAAACCAGATAGAAACAGTGCAGCAGTTGTGCCAAAATGAGATAGAAATTTGGGATACCACTCCAGAGCTACATTACAAACCTGGTCTATGTCAAAAGCAAACAGACCAGGAAAAAACAAGTGATAAAATTGTAACAGTCAGAACACTGGTAGACATTTCAGTATCTTTTCAGTATTGTCCTTGTTGAAATGTGAGTGAGAAGGAGAAAAAAGAAAAAAACCCATACATTTACATTGTTCAGGAAAATATTTTTTTCTCATCTAACCATTAGTCCTCAGTGAGCAAATGCTGTGAGGGAAAGACTTATTAGTCCAGTTTGGAGGTTATTTAAGCTCATCTTACTTACTTGCACTGGCCACTCTCAGGTCTGGATGAGGCTCCAGGCCCTTAAAGGACCAACATTTTCATCAAGAAACAAAGGGATTTTAACAAGACACGATTTTTGTTAAGGTGGATGATCATTCTGGCACAGTTGATTGTTCCCAGGTGCTCTGAGCTGATTCTGCTTCTCTTGTGTGTGGTCCCAGAAATAGATCCCTGCACTATGGACCACGGTGGCTGCTCTGTGCACGCTGTGTGCACCAAAGTGTCCCCAGGAGAGAGGACCTGTGTCTGTAAGGATGGCTACGCTGGGGACGGGACACTCTGCCTGGGTGAGTGCTCAGTGCCTGCTCTGGGGATAGCAGAGAGGCATCACTCCTGCTTAGGGGGATTCCAACCTGAAAGCCTTAGTGTTTTGGTGTCAAACCAGAAGAGCCCTGACAGGTTTCTCGCTCTGATCCATGTCATGGAGAGGCTCAGAGACAGAAGGTGAGGGCAAGCTCACACAACGGTGCTCTGAGATGAAGGTGGAGCTGGAGGAGAGTCCAGCCCTCTCATATCCTTCAATGCACACCCAGACAGGCATGGAATTATCTGTGGGCACATTTACCACAGTTCAGAGACCTCACGTGTGGCAGGAGTAGAACTTGCAGTTGCTTCCTATTCCTTTGCCACCACAAGACAGTTTCCCAGGAAGGTGTTTCCCAAGGTGGAAAGGTTCTCCCTGTTGCTTTCCCAATACCTCTTTGGACCACTAATTCCCAGCTGCCTTGCGCAATAATTTATATAATTTATTATTAATATAATTTATTGTTTTGCTGCAGAAATTGATCTCTGTCTTGAAAGCAATGGGGGCTGCCACACCAACGCTGAGTGCATCAAAACAGGCCCAAAGAAGGTGAGTATGTAGGATGGATGTCAGGATAACATTATTATGGAGATTGTCACAGCTCTGTAATTCTCTTAGAGACAGTCCTGCCCCTTCCAGTACCCTGCTTTGTGCCTGCTACCTTCCACACAGAGAAGTTGCCTGGGAAGAGCATGAAAAGATGGCTGTTTCCATGAAAGCAGATGGCTTTGCTGGCCAGAGGCTGGAGGCAGTCTTAGGTTATTTGTTGTGGACACAAGTGTGGTTATTCATGAATGCAACAATGGGTGTAACACCACATGCCTTTCATCCAGTGCAGCCCTTGTGTGCTTTGTTTACTGTGTCCAAGTTTCAGATTGAGGATCTGTTCTCCCTCCAGGTTGCCTGCAACTGTCTTCCTGGTTACAGTGGGGATGGTGTGAGCCAGTGCAACCCCATCAACCTGTGTGAACAGGTATGTCTGCATTCTGCTGCTGCCAGAGGTGAAGGCCACAGCCTTGAGGTGTTCCTTTCTACCAGTAGTTAACAGCAAGAGCAGCTTTAGCCTGGTTGTTTGGAGCTGCCTGTCTTGCTTTTCCATATAGTGGAAGGACTTCCTTGTGTATCTGGTTTCCATTGCCTCTCACAATGACCTTTGAGTGTGTTGGTCACCTGGCACTCCCTCAGTGTGGAAACAGTGACACAGGGCTGGAGGCAGGTGGGCTTTTTCCTCTCTGCCCGTTTTGTGTGGGCTGTGCCCAAAAGCTTCAGAGTAACCTGTGCTCACAGCATCACTACCATTTCTGAATCATGGGGTTTGTCATCACCCTGGGTTCCAAACTGAGGTGAGAAAGTCTTGTTTCATGGGAGGGTTTGGTGCTGGAAAACCCTCGGGGATTTGGGTGAGGTTTATTCTAAGACACTAAAGAGGGGGAAGGAAGAATGGTTTGCAGATCCCACGTGGGAGCTCCCACAGGCCATTCAGATTGTTGGAGATGCTCCTCCATGGAGGCCTTTTGCTTTCCCTGGCAGAACAACGGAGGCTGCAGCCCCTTTGGGCTCTGCAAGTACACGGGGCCAGGCACTCGGAACTGCTCCTGCTCCTGGCACAGCGTTGGAGATGGCTTCACCTGCCGTGGCAAAGTGCATCTGGTGAGAGGCATGTGCAGCACCTCCTGTGTCTGTGTCCCCTACCCTGCAGCAAATCAATCCCTCCCCTCCCAAGTGTAAGGTGCAGGTGAGCTGATCTCAGTGTCATAGCAATATGGTGTAAGAGTGGAAACAGGTGCTTTGAGACAAACTCTCCACAAATCATAGGTGTGTTTGGTGTGCCAGCTGTGGGAGAGAATCACAGTAAAATGACTTTGTTCCAAAGGGAGCAATGCTGGGAACATCCTGCTGCTCTGTCAGCAACATTGGCCATACCTCCAGGGGCTGTTTTCTTCATGTTTTAGGCAAATGGGAGTGATTTGGTTTTTTCCCAAGGCAATTTACTTCTGCCCAGTGGGATGAGGGCAAGTGTCCCCTGTGGCCATGCCAGGACGTGGGATCCAGTCTGGAGGGCAGCAGTCTGTGTCCAGTTCTGTTGCCAATACAATGGCTGTACTTAGGAAAGCAGGTGACCTTTCCAGCTAGTGGCAAATAAAATCTGTCATCCTGACAGCAGAACCAGAAGAAAGGAGATGGACTATTGTGTGCTTCTACTCTTACTGAAAGTTAGTGTGGTAAGGAGAGGGAGTTTGCCTTGCCAAGGTATGTCTGCCCTCTGGGCAGCACCCCAGCACTGGTAGTGGCAGCACAGTGAGGTTAAAGCAGAGGTTTTGTGAAGCACTCAAGGTGTCCCATGAGCAAGGGAGAGTTACCTATGAGACAGCTGCTGCAAAACCAGCCAGCTTTCTACTCTGTCCATGCCATCCTGCAGCACTTGTGATGTGAATGGTGCAGGCAGAGGTCACTGTAACATCCATGTCATCTGTCCCTACAGTGCTGGTGAGGGAGGGAGGGGAGATCACTATGGTGTGTCAGGAGAACTGGTGCCTCTTAAGGGTGGGAGAGTGACCTAGGGCAGAAGGAACAGGTCACTGTGCTGGCTGGTGAGGAGCACAGTGCTAACACCAGCTGATTCTCTTTGTTCAAGGAGCTTGGAAGAATTCCAGACTCGTCCGTGTTCTTTAGGATGATACAGGTTGGTAACAAACAGCCTTGCCCCTGTCTCTGTGCAGTAAATCCCACTTTTCTGCAAAGAGTCTTACTAACTGGAACCCTGTTTTCTGTTTGCCTTCCCACAAATGCTCTTCTAACACAGGCAGAAAACATCAAAGAACTCAGTGGGGCAGGGCCTTTCACTGTCTTCGTCCCACAGACAGATTTCATAGGAAACACTACAACAGTAAGTGTCCTCCCATCCCAAGCTCTGTCAGGTGTTTCACAGCTCCAGTTGTGGCAGTGTCCCCTCTGGGACTGCTCTGCCCAGTGAATTGAAGTAAAGGGGGTTAAAATTGAATCATGGAGAGTTAAAGGCATCCCCTGTTCTCCATCAGTGTAAGAGCAGAAGTTTGGAGGCATCTCACCAAGGAGAGCCTGGGCAGGGGTGGACATGACTCCTGTTGTAAAGAGACCCTCACTGGAGGCCCTTCTCATGGGGCTCAGAGGCACTGTGCCAGAGCAGTGATGTGTGGTGGCTTTTGCTGCCCATGGCTATTGTAAGGCCTGGTAACAGCAAGGTGTCCAGGCAGCTGTGACAGAGACCTCTTATTCCTTCTCTGTGCCCCAGGTCCTGCTAGTCCAGTTCCCTTCCTTCTATTGCCAACAAGTGGGCTGTTTGGGGCAAGTGGACCCTGCAGGGAGGAGAGATCATCCCTATTCATGACTGTCAACTGGGTTCTTCACCAACAGCTTTTTGGTGTCAGTGTAATGGAATATCCTAATCCCATCACTGACAAGTCACATCACTAGTCCCAACCTTTTTCTCATGGGCTCCCATATGCCCAATAAAGGAACAATTCCCAAAGATCACATATCCTATATGTCACTTCCTCAAGGAAAATGTGGTCATTTGTCCTTCCTCAAAGGACCTAAATGCTGTTTTTGTCAACCTGGTTGAAATTTCCCAAAGCTCTCAAATTGTTTTGTGCATTCCCTGTGTTTTGGAGGGACTGGCTTTCCTACAGGTATGAGTCAGAGGGGCCTTGGGCAATCCAGGTCTGCCTCACTGGGAGCGGGGACCCTGCATGCAAGGCAAAGTGCCCCAGTGTGACCTCTGTTTTCTGCCTGTAGTTTGAGGAGTGGAAGAGCAGACGTCTCCTCCGGGACCTGCTTCGCTACCACATGGTGGGTTGCCAGAAATTGCTCTCCAGTGACCTGGAAGCCCAGGAGTCCCTCACATCTTTATCTGGTCACAAAATAAAGATCACAGTGAACGAGGTAATTCCCTTCCCTGTCCCACCTGTCAGGATGTCCCTTCTGCTGTCATTTGAAGCCACTGTGGTTGTGGCAAGTGGCTTGCCCAGGGCCCACAGATGGCTCAGAGGGCGGTTCCATGGCTGTGAATGCCCCATCATGTCCCCTCTCCCCCAGAATAGCATCTTTCTCAATGGGGAAGCCAAGGTGGTCATGAGTGACATCATCGGCGTGAACGGAGTCATCCATTTCATCAACAAGATCCTCATTCCAAGTGACCTGGTGGACCGTAACATCTCCTCCAAGCTCTCATTGGTGAGGCTGAAGGCAGGGCTGTGGTGAGGGCAGGGCCAGGATCTCTCTCCCAGTGGCGCTGCCTCAGCACAAGGCTGTGTCGGCTGCTCTTCCTCCCTCTTCCTGACTGTGGAGGGGTTGTCTGAGGGCATGGATTTGGCTTGTGAAGGTGACAGCACTTGTGGCATAGCCATATTTGGAACAGAAGGAGCCTTATCTATCACTAGGGAACAGCAGTACTGGATGTAGGTGGGGAGATGTGTCCCATGCCAACCATCACACTTTTTTCCAGCGCAGAGCAGATTGCAGCATGAGATTGCCAATGCCTCTCTGGTACTCCTCAAGCAAGCACTAGGAGCTTATACATCCTGCATTTTACACAAGATAACATTTTCTGTACAGCACAACAGGGTGCTGGAATTCATCCCAGCTCCTGCCATAGCAGCGTCTGTCCAGGATGAATCAGAAAAGCAGGGGCTGCCAAATGCCATCCCTTTCCAGGCCAAATCATCAGCACGATGGTGACAGAGATAAACTTGTGTTTAGCTGCTGCAGTTGTTAACTGTCTGGTTTCTCCAGTGTGTTGCTGGTGCTGGAGGGGGAACCCTTAGAGACAGTTGCTTGCTTTCCTCCCTCTGCAGCAGAACGTCACGGAGGTGGCAGAGGCCTTTGGGTACAGCATTTACAGCAAGCTGCTGCAGGTGAGTGACCTCACACGGGCTGCTCTGTGGGGAGGTGGTTTTGTGCACGTGCACGTTCAGTGTTGGGGCTTGTGGCTTTTCCTTTGTGTCCCCTGTTACCTCGGACAGGACGCGGAGCTGCTGCCGCTGGTCAGTGACCCCCTGCACAGGCCCTTCACGCTGCTGTGGCCCACGGACGCCGCCTTTAACGCTCTCCCCGAGGACAGGCAGAAGTACCTGTACCACAGGGAGCACCGGGACGTGCTGGCCTCCTACCTCAAGGCACACATGATCAGGGACACCAAGGTAAATGTGATGGCACACAGGCTGCTGCCTCCTGAGGCCACACGTGGTGCCACCGCCTGCCTGTGGTTACGTCAGAGTGACCTTGCCAAATTATTGCTGCTGTGGAACACGCAGCACATCAGCTGTTTAGGGAAGACCCAAAGCTGTTTGAGCATTTGAGGCAACTACAGCTTCATCATGAGCCTCTGGGGGCTGAGCTGAAACCTGTCATCACCTTCCTGGGGAGGCCACATCACTGCTAGAGTGTCATTGCAAGGCTCACAAACAGGCTCTTGTCTACAGGGGTGATAAACGAGGGAAAAGTCCAGCTGAGAAAAACTAGGGCCTGCTTTCACACACTGGACTCTCATGTTCAGGAATCTGGGATTAACCCAGCATTGTTGTGCTGTGCCACCCCACACCAACTTCATGTACTGCCACGTCACACCCTCTGAGTGTGGCTGCTGACCCCTGTCCTCACCAGGCAGCATCCCATTAGTATGAACTGCCAGTTTTGCCTGTCTCTCCCTTCACATTCTTCCTATTTCCCTCAGATTTTTGCTGGTAACATGCCCCAGGTCGAAACCATACGGACCATGCACGGCTCCACCATCTCGTTCAGCTGCAGCAAAACCCACGTGGTGAGTGTTGGTAATGCCAGGCTCAGCTTCCACGGATCAGGTGTCCCTGGGCATGGCCATGGAGCCACTGGTGCTTCTGGCAGGAACTGAACACAGAGTTGGGGTGTTTGCAGGCAGCTGAGCTGTAGAGAGGCTCGAGATGTTGTGTTCAGCTCAGGGAGGTGTGGGGGTGTGTGGCACCTGCACACACATGTCACAATGACCTGGTTGCAAAGCCACCCCCATGGTGCCACAGCCTTGGCACATGTTGGACGGAGGCCATCCTTAGGAGAAGTGGCCATGGAAAGTGTTATTCAGGAAAATATTGTCCAGGACGTGAGTACAGAGATTTTGGAGAGTTCTTGGGGTGATTAAGAAATCATGGCAGTCAAAAATGGGCAACTTCTGGGTGGTGCACCAGGATGTAGGATGTGCTGGAGTCACACTTTGCTTTCTTCCTCTGTTAGGGGGAGATTCTGGTGGGGAACGGCGATGCCACCATCATCCAGAGGCACATGGAATTCAGTGGGGGCATTGCTTATGGCATTGATAGACTGTTGGAGCCACCAGATCTGGGATCTCGGTGTGATAAGTTCAGCTTCACTGAGCTACAGGTAAGCACTTGTGATGAGTTCAGTGAGGATCTGTGCCACACGTGCCGTGCCATGCCTAGGACGAGGGGTGTCAGGAGGGCCTGCTGCTCTTCCTTGGCAAAGCTCTGAGCAGCCAAGAGAGGCAGCAGCACATGCTGAGTTGTTGTGAGGTTTCTTTCTCCCCTCCACAGGGATCTACAGAGAGCTGCGGACTCTGTGGCTTCGAGCCACCCTGCCCTGCTGGCTCCGTTCAACGGGTAAAGCTCACAGCTTTGTCACCAAGGAGGCCTGTGGGGGGACTGATATCCACGTGCCCCTCATGTTTTAGCAGAAAAATGAAGGCCCCCCCCGCCTGTGGCAAGTCCCTCACATTGTCCATGCCCTGCCCCAAGGTGCACAGTCCCATAGGGCAGGAGCTAGGCTGAGAAATGTGGGGTCAGGGGCTCCAGTGGTCTTTGCTTGGTCAGCCCCTATGTGGGTGACAGTGGCACAGGGGTCCTTCCACCAGCATTGGGGTGGCTCTGGGTGCTTTAAAGCAATAGAGCTCAGCCTGGCCACCGGAGAGCAGCCTTGGGAGGCAGAGGTTGTACCCCATTCTCACTGTGGGCTTCTGGCACATCCCTAAGGTTCATCTGTGGCTCCTCTGTCATCCGCCCCCTCGCATGTTAGGAAGCCTCTGTCACTTGTCATAAAACTGCATGAGTGGCACGAGAAAAGTCAAGGTGAGTTATCAGTGACCAATGTGGCGAACTCTGTGTTTTGCCTGTTCCCTCACAGGGGGAAACCAGGCGCTGCTACTATTACGGGAACCAGCTGCTGAGGAACACGTTCCTGCTTCACCGCAACTCCCTGTTGCGGCCGTCGTGGCCACCACACTCCCCGTGGGACCCCTTCAGGAGACACTTCTCTTCCAGGGGGCCTCTGAGACGAGGCTGCAGGAGGAGCTGCGTTTCCAGCCAGTGGATCCCACAGTGCTGTGCCAACCACTACGGCTGAGACTGTCGGGGTAAGAGCCGCACAACCCTTTCCCACCCCAGCCCTTTCTCCTGTGGGAAGTGGCACTACTGGTTCAGCACAGACATTTTGCATCTGTGAATGTCCTTCCCTGGAGAAGGGTGGGCAAAACCCCAGGCAGAGAGCCCCAGCCTGTAGAGGGTGCAGGGAACAATCCCCTGGAAGTGTGTGTGGACTAGCATATCAGGGAATTCCCTTTCCTTGGAGAGCCTCTTGACTCCATGGAGAGCCCTGGGCACAGGGGGTGGCTGTCAGACATGTCACTCACCCTTAGGTATTGCCAGTGCTCTGCCATTCCCTGGTGTCTGCGCTCTGTGCATGGGCAGCTTTCACATCTTTGTGTGAGTCTGCTGCCAGGTTAGTGTGGGGTGCAGACCCAGCACATTGCAGCAGATGGTCTGGAAACCATGCCAAATTTGACCCTTTTGCCCCCATTCCCAAAGTTTGCTGTTGTGGGATGTCCCCAGCACTCACTCCCCAGACTGCCTGAGCTGTCTGTGGTCCAAGCACCCCCATAAGCGGGAGCTCAGCTGGCACCTGGTGTGCAGGCTCAGTGTCAGTGGGAGGCTCCTCTCCAGCCCAGGGTCCCTTTGTCACCTTTGTCACCTCAGCCTCATTAAGGTGCCCCCTTTGCAGTGTGCCCGGGGGGGCTGGAGGCGCCGTGCAATAACCGTGGGACCTGCGACGACAAGATCGGCGGCTCGGGGAGGTGCAACTGCAGCGAGGCCTTCATCGGGACCAGCTGCGAGCTGTGCGCGCCCGGCAGATACGGCCCCGAGTGCCGAGGTACGGGGTGGTGGCTGTGGCACGGGGTTGCTGCTTGAGAGGGGGTAGGGGCTGGGCTGACCCCCTCGCAGCTGACAGCATGGGAATCAGAGCTGCCACGGTCCCCACAGTGCTCATGTCAGACCTCTGGGGCTGGGGACATCCCTCCCTGGGGTCTTGCCAGACAGCTGTAGTTGGACAAGGCTGGGTGGCACATGCTGGGAGCTGTGGCCAGTGCAGCTATGCTGGCAATGGCCTCACCTCTGTGATGAGACCACAGGGTCAACTCAGCTGAGAGCCCAGGCTGACAGCATTAAGATGTATTTTGAGCCAGGGGACACGTAAGCTGTGATGGACCCTGTACAGAAAGAGCATCTCCTGGGATGTGCTCAACAGGGCCTTGTGCCCATGTGAGACAAAAGCCAATGGAAGGAAAAGAGAGTCCCTCCATCCTGCCATCCCAAACTGGGCCTTATGAGCTCTCCAGGAATGTATTTGACAGCTGAATGTTTGCAGGGTTTCAGTGAGGAAACACATTTCCAGAAATGCCCAGGGGAGAGGAGTGATGGGGGTTTGTGGATGCAGAGGCTTTCCCTCCTCTGTGAAGGACACCTGTTACAGAGGAGGACAGTGACAGAAGGGCTGTATGTGCTGCCATGCCCACCTTCATACCTGCCCACACATGCCACCAAGGCAGGTGCCATGACAGTGTGTTTATCCCTTCCTCCCAGAGTGTAACTGCACTGAGAACGGCGTGTGCAATGCGGGGCTGCACGGTGA